GAAGCCATGGGACACCATTGCTTTTGGAATTTACAGGGGAACCAACATTCCAGGGTTGCTTAGGTAACCCTACTGTGGATGGACGAAATCCATTTCGCCCCACCTAAGGAACCCTGGAATGAGTCGGTTCCCCTGTAAATTTCAATAGACAATGGTTTCAACCATGGTTTCCAAGTGGTGCAGCATTTTGTCCATCCACAGTATGACTGTGGAGACTTCGTAAGCCCAGTGGATCCTGGGTGTCTATTTTGAAGGTGCCAGGGTACCCTTTCCTGGGTTGGTTTGAGGGGAACCTAAAGGCAACACCGTGATATATATATATATCTCTTTGGCAACCAAAGAAACCTCTCATGGTAAACCTAGAGGTAATAAATTAATCTGGTCACATAATCTAGTGGGAATTGGAAAGTCTTGATGACCGTCTCTATTCAATGACGGCAGTGAGTTTGTCTTTCCGAACAAACTAATACTGAAATGCTCAGCAACACACATGTTTGATATCTGATGCACGAAGGAGGTCTTAAAGTTGGCATGGAAATCATGTGCACGTTCTCAGAGCAATACGGGGGTTGATCAAAAAAGATCCTTTGCATGGATAACCATTGGGGGAACTCACCAAAAGATATGATATTTCAACCGCTAAATAGGGAAAGTGACCCATGGTCATTTGGTGGCCCTAGATGCAATCTAATCAACGCCCATATGTTGAGTCACTGGTGCCCCCACCAAAAAGATATGATATCTTTATTTTGACATGTTCCCACTAAATGGGGACAGTTCCACATGGTCGTTAGTTGGGGGCCCTGGATGGGACACTGATCAACCTCCAGGGGAGAAATCGAACACCGATGTTCTGCCGTGATGATGTTGACACCGTACCACTAAACCCGTCCTATGATTCGGGGGGGGCTTCCCTCCAAAAGTGAGGAATGCACACTAAAACTGGACAACCCCTAGTAATCAACCAGGGGTTCATCTGCGGTCAACATCAATCCTAAGGCTGGGAGCAACCCTAATGCCTGGATTTAGAGATATGTTTGAGCTCAGCTGAATGAAACGGCGGGGGTTGGCAAGTAAGTACTAGGCTCCGTCGCTGCATATAAGATGCTGCAAACAGACAGCAATGCGTGGCTGCAAACATGACAACCCGGCTGCTCGGTCGTGAAAGCAGAGCGCAGCTCTCATGGCTTGATGTATTCCCTGACAAAGACTCCTTGCAAGGCAAGCTGGCGCTTGCTCAGCCCTTCTACTGCAAGCAAGCCTGAACAGAACGGATCATCCCGGAAGATAAGATGAGCATCAACTTGAGAGTTTCTTGATAGCCAGCAACCTAGCGTTCCAAAAGCATTGTTCGGGATCCACAAATCGAGGCTAAAAACAGGAGCTTCTGGCTGCGTGAATTGCACGGAGAAGCTACTCAAGGCCTGAGAGTACCGCACTCCGTTTGTGAAAGGGGTTGCTTTGGATGGCCAGTGCTGTCGATAGGCGACCCCAACAAATGGACCCAAAGCTCTTCGCCAATTCAGCCGCAGATTTCTCAGGTTGACCCCATTGAGGAAATGTCTAAAGGCCAGGTCCTTGAGGAGGCCGTGGCTCGCGCTATTGGGATTGTCGCCTTACTATCCTTCGACCCGCGATTTTAACATGCTTAATTGCCAAACTGGATTTATCAAAAACAAGAGAACACGCTCTAAAGTACTCTGAACCTTCTAACTCTATCAAAAACAGTTGTTTCTATTGATTTACCATCCGCTTTATCCCTGAAATTCTTTGCCCCGGCGGCAACCGAGCCTTGCTCACCAACGTCGCAGCTGGAAGAAAAGCGCCTGCCAAAACATGTTGCTCGACTCTCCGGATCAGGAATCCAACAGGGATCCTTGCATTATGCACCTGAACGTTGCCTTGTAAATGGTGGTTTCCCCGTATTTCGGTGGAAAAGGCCATGTTTCGAATGGGCAACATGTATCTTTTAAGGGAGCCCTGTCCAATCTTCCGGGAATTCCCACCTTGAGGGGCATGTCAAAGTCAATAGCGGGCCCTTTTCAGACCATCGCCTCGAGGGGTCCAAAAAGAGTCCGGTGAAGTTGCAAGGTATCTCCTGAACACTCACATGCTCAGTCAGAGGGACCATTCAGCTGGCGAGCATATGTCACACATGTGACCATGAAACTGGGTCCAAATTGGAGCTTCACGGACTGAGGACGCAAACAAACCGTAAGGAGTGCACGGAAAACCAGGATCCATACAGGAAAAGCAAGCAAGCACAGTGTGACTGAGATGCAGTAGGCTTGGTGCTGTGTTGAAAGTTCAAACAACAAAGCTTCTTTGCCCACCAATGGATTTGCCCGCCGTGATGTGCGGGTGTTTTGGCACAAATACAAAGCCTGCGTTGCACATACATCTCAGCTCGCAGCTTATAAAACAGCTCGTTGTCTGCCTCCAAACCCATAAGAAGAAAGCAACCATCATTTTTTACGCAAAGCATTCAAAACCAGTGGTTTGGACATGAATGCTCAGACGGGTCACCACACTAGCACCAAACCCACAAGAAGCATCAAGCGATTTGCCGCCTGGATGAAGCGACAGGGTGGCCATCCATGTCTTCGAGGTGATAAGCTCGTACCTGGATGTTTGGCTGGCTGGTTGGTTTTTTGCTTGTGACTTTTCAGCAACAGAGTCACTGTATACTGAAAGATCTCTTGTCACTGCGTCCAGGGGCCCATGCCGGAATCTCTCTCTGTCAAGCATGAAATGTTGCTAGATGGTTGGGGTGCTAGCTAAGTGGTCACTAACCTCCAATAAATCCCCAGGTAACTCCCCCGGCAAACCCTTATAAGGAGGGTACTAAGCGTTTGGCCAACCCCCGGACCTATCTGTAGTTGGCCTGTTAGCGTTGTTTCTCTCTCGAGAGATCCTCCACATGTGCTTCTTGCGTACAAGCGTATAACAGCCAGCTCAACACATGTTGCTTTAGCTCTGCCTCAATGTTGTTTTAGGCAAACGACGATCTCTTAGGCTGCTGCCCCGCTATGGAACAACTTGCCTTTCGTCTTCGTATGCACCATTTGCCAAGCACCTGATTGAGACGAAATCAGCAACAACCACCTGTGGCAAATTGTTCAAGTTGTTGCAGCGGACAAGTAGCATTTGTTGTTGTTTATGATGTGTACATGTACGTGTTAGTATTTGTGCTTTTGTGCTTAGCACATTATTCTGTTCGAATTTGTTTTTTTGGCTGTTTGGATATTTTGTGAATGAGCTAAACGCCTGTGGATTCCAAGATTGAACTCCTGCCCTAGGGTTCAACCCCCATTAAAAGCAAGGTTGACCTAATCTGGATGATGATAATCCTTAGGAAAACAATGGCGGTTATATGGCAGTGGCTCAAAATTAAAGAGCTCGGGCAAACCGCAGGTTTTGGCCCATTTTTCCCACTTCCCAGGGCAAGCCATTTTGGAATTCCGGTTTTTGGAGCCATACCCATATGAACCCATCCATTGGTTTTATGGGTGGTTTGAACCCCGGGGCCTGCGATCGTCCCATGTAAGAACAGATCTTCACCGCGGGAGCGCTCCGCGTTTTTTTGTCGGACGGACTGGCCATGGACAGGTACACAATGTGGCCATGTGGCCATGGGCTTTTCAAAAGCCAAATGGTACCCCAGCACATCCGAATCCGATCCAACCACTAAAATAGGTGCTAAAAAATGGGTGGTGAATTCACCTACCAACCAAAATGGGATCCCGAAACGGGTTTGACAACCACAGCCACGTCGTTCCGTCTTGGGGCTCGCTGATCGGCCGGATGAGGGAAGAGACTGCGAATGCCCACCGCCTGGCATGCGTGTGACGCTGCGGTGCGCTCGGTCTGCTCCCAAGACCCAAGGGTTGAAAGGATCCAAGTGAAACCAAACCCGATGTTGTTTGCTCACGCGACCAGTCCTGGAGCATGGACTATATGTATGTAAATGTCAATGAGAATAATGATAATGATAATAACAACAAATAACAACAACAATATGTATATTTATATGAGTATAATTGGGAGTCAAGCCATTCTGGCCAAAACAAGCCCGACCCCGGAGAAGAAGAAAAAAAGAAGAAGAAAAACAACAAAAAAATGGTTCTTCTTATTCAGGTCTAGTGGTCTAATCATACCCCCTGTAAATTCAAGCCGTGCGCTCCTCCAAGTGGATCACGAGGTACATTAAAGTGGCATCCAACTTGCTTATGGTGGCTGAAAAGAACCCCTCCATCCAGGCACCCTACAACCCCCCCCCCCCCCCCCCCCCCCCCCCGCAAACAAAAACACACACACACACACACACACACAAAACATGGCCCTATTTGATTGCATGTCCCCCCCAACAAGGCTCAATACAGAATACCGATTAATACCCTGGAATGCATGGAGGGGGATTTCTTTGGAAAGGGCGGGTGACAACAAATGCCCATGTCCTTTTCGGGAAACAAGTAGGTTTGTCCGTTGCTCAGGTGGGACAATTGGCTAGTTCCGGAAAGCTGGTAGCAGGGTTTATCAATGCGTTCACTGTGTGTAAAACCAAACACAAATGCGTTTTGCAACATATGTACCATAGCTATCCTGCTTCTAAAACCAGAGTGTTGACCATGAATGAATTCTTGTCCCCCCGCATGTCCTCCTAAATCAACTGCAGACCAACAATCAATGGCTCGTAGGGTTCCTATGTCCCCCAACACATCCAAAAGCTGACATGGCAAGTGTGTACCCCTTTCGCCAAGGATTTTCTGAACCCTTGTAACATGTGCAAAGAAAGCAAGACAAGGCGCCTAAAAATTGCGGGTTGATCAAAAGGTTCTTTACCTGGTATACCATTGGTCGAAAAACTTTAAACAGATGATATGTCAACCACATGGGAAAAGTTACCCATGGTCATTTGGGGGCTCTATTTCCGGGGCCAAAAAGGTGATCTTCAAAAGGGGAGAAGGGAAGCGAGCAGCTTCCTCAAAAGTCGGGTGTGCCTCACAGGCACGCATGGCGGCGAACCTCGGCCCGTTGGCGAAGCGACCCCAACCGACCCCAACGTTTCGTGTGAAGACAAATTTGGCCTTAGGTGAAGAAGGCCTTGGGTGTCTCTTCGGAATGACCCCGTTGGCTTGCAAGCGAACTGAAGCGAACGGGAAAACCCGAGAATTTGCTTGAGGGGTGCACGTAGCTTCCGCGACTGGAAGCTACCAGCTTGCCCAGGCATTCCAATGGATGTGGGGTCTCTCGTTTTACAACCCGGCTTGGTTTTTCAAGCCCATAAAGCAAAACATAAAATGGAGGTCAAAAAGCAGGTTTGCGGTTGGAAGAACAGGGTCCCATGTCACCCCTCTCGCTCGTCAGCTAGGCATTCAGCAATTTGGGCTGACGCTTCCTTGCACGCATCGCATCCCATCACCGGAAGGATTTTGTTGGTTGAGTCTTCCCGAGGCACCCATGGAAAATGATGAGACGAAAGGAGTTGCAACTGGTGACAACGCAACATATAATATCAACCCTGGATGAATAACCCCATGGTTGATTAAGTGCCCCCTTTTTTGGTGGTGATTCATCACTTTTGCACGGAACACCGCCTATTAATAGGACCAGTTTACTAATCCGAAGTCTACTCTACATTCGGGAGGAGAGTGAATGGTCCAACAGGGGCCGTGAGAACAGCTCTTAGGTGGCGATATGCCATCGCAACAGCATGGAGAGAAGTGCGACGATGCGGTGCAAAAGGAGGCTCGGTGCAAGGATGTGTCCGCAGAGCATTCGGAGCAATGGAGAGGCAGCATTCCAAGATAGGGCAACCCAAAATGACCGAACCCCACTTCCCAAAAAAGGGGCGTCCTTGGATGAATCCGAGAGCTTCAGCCATTCGACCGCTTGCCGCCTTGATCAATATGCGTCTCGTGAAGCCTAGGCCTCTGACTTGTCACGGGGAGCCACATCGAAAACCATCAATTTTTGGAGGGTCCCCCTTTTTGGGTGTGGCAAGCAACGCTTAAGAGCCAGCAAACTGCCGGGTGTTTGTCTGCTTTTCCAAGGCTAGAGCAAAAAGGGAACTATAGGGACCCCTGATTTTGGGCGTCTATTTCTTTACCCACACCTGGCAAGAACTCCTGGATCTGGCTATAAGCTACAGATTTCCCTTTGAAAGATACAACATATACAGCCGCTTTACCAACTGCTTCTTCATATGTTGCTAAAGGTGCCCTTATATTAATATATATATATATATATATCTTGGTTGCTGTTGACCCCCCTGCAAAAAGTTTAACTTTTGGGGGGTTTACTGGAAAACACCTTTATTTCCCAAAAAAAGTTAAAGTCTAAAGATCCAACCCAATAGCAGGCAAGATATATTATCGCATTTCTGTGGATCTGACTGTCAGCCCCTTGAGGCCGCTGGCATCGAATGCCGCTCGATGTAGCAAGCATAGTCAGGATCCCCAAAATCCTGGAGCTCGGCTGAGGGTGGGGGCGCCTTTTTTTGTTCAGGGACCCCAGCAACATGGCGAGTCTTCCTCATGTCCCTTTACACCTACCGAAGGGGACCGTTGAAAAAGACAGACACATGCAGCAGTTCGGATCAACGCATCCAGACTGGTGCTGGGGTAGCCTCTTGCATGTTTCAGCCTGCATAGCCAACAAGCCCGGAGCCTGGAAATCGGGTTCCATATCGAACCGGCCTTTTCCGTGCAACGAGAGACATGCCATTCAGCGAGGCTCCCTGGCCGAACAAAACTACCAAGCCCCTGACCCTTACCAGATCCCTAGACTTGCAAGGGCGCCCAGGAACAAGTTAAAGTCCTAATATCCAAGCAAAAGGCGCCAAAGTGTCTCTCGGGGTCATTCCGAACTTAGCATTCCCTGCCAATCGAACCGATTGCACCGGTCAAGTCCTCCCACTCCGCAGGCCACAGCATCCAAAAGCCAGCGCGCCGGGGGGCTGGCGCAGTGGGACGCGCGTGTCTCTTTGTCGGACCCCCCGAAAAGGCCAAACGGGTCCTCAGTTGTTCAGTGACCCTGGAAAAAAAAGGAACCCTTTTGGCACATGGCGCATCCGCGATCGGCTGCGCTGGTGAGTGGGGCATGCCGCCCCACCACCAGTAAAAAGGGGACCCTTTTTTGGGAAGACCCTTTTAGTGGGTAAAGCCACCAAAAAAAGGGGGAAAAAGGGGAAGCCACCGAACAACTGAGGGTCTATCCTTGGGTTTCCCGAAACCGCCAGGAAAACGGGAGCCCTCGTTGCGACAAGAGCGTCCTTGCGCTACCGTCATTCTAGGGGTTGATGTCCCATTCTTCTCAACCATCGTCCTTTCCCAAAACCGGCCGTGTTCCCTGGGCTTCCGGAGGTTTTATAGAAAGAAGGATCCCTGGAGAGAATCGGGAAGGTACCCCTAGAGTCATGCCGTGGCTACACCGAAGGAACCAGAAGCTCTTCGCGCGGAATCCAGCACCCTCCAAAGTCCATCCGCTTGGAAAGGGGAGATGTTCCGCGATCCCTGGGTCAGGGAAACTGAAAACCAGAGGCAAACCAATCTACCGGCCTTGGTCATGCGGAGCCTTGATCAAGGCACCGCGTTTGAGCTATTTCAAGAAGTGAACTCGGATGCACTGGGACACCCTCAAGCGGTTGGTGGACTAACCCCCGGCCAATCCCCATCATCCTTCCTTGTGTCGTGACTTGGCGCAGCCTCAGTATTTGGTTTCCCCATGCCAAATTGAACTTGGTCTCTTAATCCCAAACAGGTCCCCTTTTTGCTCTGGCTGAGCATTTGGGGGCGACAGGCTGACACCGCTCCCCTTTCTCGCCTTTCAAGCCAGCACGGATGATGTGCGTTTGCTGCGCGACTACGCAGGCGTCCTGACAGGTCGGCGGCACACATTGAAGGCTCAAAAACACTGAAAACCGGTCCATAGTTCCAGAAAATTGATTCCCCTTTCTCCTCAACCATGGTGCTGGTCAACAAAAACACCGGTTCCCCAGCTTCTACAATTCCGGAGGTTTTCCAGCAGGATCCCTGGATTCAGAATGGACATGGAAGGTGCCTCTGGGGATGCACCTCGCTTTTCCGGGCCCCTAGGAACAGCTCCGACGGAGTGAGTCTGCTGAAAAAAAGGGGGGTCTCTCTTTTTGAGGCTACCTTTTTGTTTGGTTTAAAGGGAAACCAACAGGAAACTAATCATTTTGGGGGTTCCGATCTTTTTGTTCTTTGTTTCGATTGTGTTGTTGTTTGTAAACCAACAGGAAGCTGATCTTTTTCAGCTTTTTGGGGTTACCCGAAGCTGTTTGAGACTTAAGCCCTCACGGCCACGGTTGAAACCACATACCACAGCTGTGACCCTCAGAGGTGAAGACAGGGCTGTAGCAAGGGTCCTGCTTAATTGCCACGACAGCTTGCGAAAACTTCACTACAAGGTGTAACTCCGACAGCGATCACGTGGCATATTCATATACAAATCCGGCCTCTGCATCCGATATAATTCTACTCTAAACGGCCAACCACTGTTGTGGTTTGTGACCAGCGTTTGCCAAAGTTCGGATAGAGAATTCGTGTATGAGTATACAGTATACATATGAACATAGCTACATATATATACATGCAAATTGTACCCGTATCCCTGATCTCTTGGCGTCACCGCACCTTGGCGACACACAGCTGCAGTTTCTCACTGAGCGCATGCACCACGCGATGTCACGTTCTGTCTAGTTGCGTTCTTTCCACACGCATCTAGACGCACTGGGGGGCTGCGGGTACGCAATAAGGCGCTATGCGCGCACGTATGCACGTGTACGTATGTATAGACGAGCTGAGTCCGCGAGATGCAGTCAACCAATGCTGCGACTGGTGGGAGACGTGAAAAAACAGTGCTGAGCTGCTTGTTTCGCCAGCGGCGAGCCATGTGTGCTGTGCGTGTATATATATATATATACATATATATATATATATAATATGGCTGTGGCTAAAAAAACGGTACCAAAATGGAACCCTGGTAAGTGGAAACATGGACCAAAGCCTACGTAACCCCTCCTGTTGAATTTTGAGCCACACCCATATAGAGTATATCTCTACCCTTGATGTTTGCACGTTGTCGATACAAGATTCAGGTCTACACTACTTGCTCAACAAGTGGCGAGGGAGAGCTTTGCTGTGGTCCATGCTTGGTCTGCTCATCCAGTACAATGACTTTCAGGGATATCATAGTGTCTAAAAGCCATCCGAAAAGGTAGTAAGTAACACAGGTCTCAGGCCAAAATCGAAACAAATAATGCAGGAAAGTGATCTTCTACTTGAGAGGAGTACCTGGCGGGTCTGAGCAAACCAAGCAGAAATGACGTCCAACCACAAGGACGACGCGACATCAGTCCTGTGAGCTGCCCATAAAAACATGGTGCAGCTCATAGAGTGGCATCCCCTGCCAAGCACGAGTAGCTTGCCCAGGTGAGCCAAAGCCTTCGTAGGTTGCAAGATGTTGGAGGGGACCCCGCCGAAGGAGCGAAACTCACACTGAACTGGGGTGCAGGCGGGCACAGCAATTTGCCTGCCCCCGCTCTTGAAAAATCTATGTGGCGATGGGCATTGTCGAAATCAGGCCGCACGAAACTTTGTCCACCCATGCTTCGAGGTGCCTATTGAAAGAGCTTTCCCTTCTAAGTAAATGAAATGTGTCACTGCGCCACTCGCATGTCATTTGGTGAACATCATGGGTGTGCATTGGGATCCCATGAGACGCCTGATGCATCAAATTGGTTCCACCTATACATTCCTGGCCAGCTCAAATACCTTCTCCAAAGCATTACAAGGACTCGTCAGGGAAAGGGGCCTGCTGCTTCGATCCCGCTACAATCAAGGAAAGGAGGGCGTAGGGGCCCAAGAACGGCAAAACGAACTGTTTTGGGAGACTACAGTTATCGCCTCCCTTCCTTATTGGTTTTTAAGACTCGGGATCTGAGGCCGTTCATGATTCATTCTTTGGGAAGAAGGCCAGAAGTCCTTGCCGAACTTTCAAAAATTATGCTGGCTACAACCTTTCCTGGGGGCGTAACGGGGGTAACTAACCACATAGCTCCCAGACAATCTCACCAAAGGGATCCCAGAACGATGCTACGCGGCACAGATTACGATTCGCTTTACTCGGAAGGGATCCCCACCGGCCTGCTCTTGAGGACAAATCAACAGGTGCCCTGGTGATGAGACATGTCGAACAAACTCCTAACAATTGCATGGTGCTTCTCGCCTCCCTGAAATGGTTTTGGTTCTTGTGGTTTCCCTCGAACCACCAACCAAAAAACGGGTCCGCCACTAGTTGGAAACTCCCGTATGGCCATGGGTCAAAATCACAATTCCGCCAGTGAACATCCCAATCCCCACTAAATAGGTCCCAAAATGGGTGGTGAATTCACCTACCCCCATTTTGGGATCCCAAAACGGTTTTGACCACGGCCATATATTCCACGCGCGTACCATTTCCGCGCACCTGATCATCCTTCAGGCGGGGATGGACCTTGATGCCCTTCTCCACCACATGGCCTCGCGTCGCGTCCCTCTGGGCTGTCCGATTCGGATCCCCCGCTAGAAGTGACTCACTTTTAGTGGGTAAAATTCGGAAACTACCACTAAACACTACAAGGCTGAAAGGCCAAAAGGCCAAGGAACCGGATGGCTGGGAGCCGCCAAATCTACTTGGTGGTTTGGTTTGGCGGTGTGGATCTTAGCGGCTTCCCATTTACCCTCTACAAGAACCAAACCCTACTAACCAAGCCCATTCGACTTAACCCTGGTTACTTACTTGACCCTACTAACCAAACCTTTGACTAGTACCCACACTAGTAGGGATCTTATGGGGGCTGGGGACGGAGAGGAGAGGGAGCCCAAATAAGCCCCCATTTCAGGCCCTAAAGCCTTGTTTGGGGCTTATTGGGGCTCCCTCCTCCCGGCAGCCAGAGGTTACCTGATCAGAATCGCAAGCCCTTCGTCTAGAGGGCTACTAGACGGTGTGGATGCAACTGCTGTGCGCGAATCCAAGTGAAAAAACGTACCCATCAATGAGTAGCAAAAAGGGAACGGGAGAAGAAGGGGTGTAATCAAGAAGCCCATTCAAAGAGTTGTTCGGAGTTCTTGTCAAACAGGGCAGAACTCATCTGAACATGCGCCGATCGGGCAACATATCCAGTAGTTTAGGGGCCATTACATGTCGCTGCCGAACTTCTGCAGAAAACCAGGGAGCTCATTACTCTGCCCACACTCTCTGGCCTCCAAAAGAAGCGGAAAAGCAGACAGGGTCAGAGGGTCCCACAGCTTTGTGGACAAATTAGGCTGGAAAAAGTGGGACTTTGAGAGGGATGGTTCTTGGGTTTCCCTTGTAACAGCTAAGAGGCATGTGCATGCCTCGTCTTTTTCTACAGTCAGTACCCCCTTTTTTGGGGGTGTAGGGAAAGCAAGGGGAACACCGAAGCCATTTTGGGGCGGCCTAAAAAGAAAGGACATACCCCTGTCATGTGTCAATGCTGATCTCATGCAGTCCGACTCCATCCGGAAATGCCAATCCGGTCTCGCTCACGCCGTTCAGAAACTCAGAGTGCAGTCTCGCTCACGCCCAAGAACCTGAACATAGTCAACACATGTTGCGACCTTGACGAAACAAAACTGGACCAATATGCAAAGCGCAAAAACAACTGGACAAATAAGAAAAAAAAAACTGGACCAACTTGAAAAACAAAGAAAACACAACTGGGCCAAGAAGAAAAAAACAACAACTGCACCAAGAACACAACCACCCAAAAAAACTGGACTAAAAAGAAAAAAACAAAACATGGACCAATGAGGAACAACAAACGACTGGACCGTAAAGAGAAAACTAAACAACTGGCCCATGGTCCAAGAGAATGAACACTGGAGCAATAAGAAAAACCTAAAAACCAAACTGGACCAAAACGAAAACACAAACAACATGGACCACTAAGAAACAAAAACATATGCAAAAACTGGACCAATAAACAACAACGAAAAAGACACGGAGCAATAAGGAAAACAAACACTGGACCGATAAGACAAACCAAAGGACTGGACAAATGAGAATTATCTGGTCAAACAAACAAAGGACAAATGAGACACATACTGGGCAACAAATACACTGGACCAATAAGAACGAAACCCAACAAGATGACCAATACGACAGCCACAAAACAAACTGGACCAGTAAGAAAACGAGAAAACACCTGGACCAATGAAAAACTAACACCTGTACCAATAAGAATGAACAAATCTGGGCCAACAAGAAACAAACAACACAAGATGGACCAATAAGCAAAGAGCGAAGACAAAGCTGGAAAGGAAACACTGGAAGAATAGCACAAAACTGGACCGAAAATAAAAGAGCAAAACTCACCAATAACAAAAGAACAAAAACATTGGACCGATAAGGAAAGACAACCAACAACTGGACCTATAAGAAGAGCACAAACCCAAGTTGACTAGTACTTGTTTGTTTTAAAGGAAACAAACACCAACACTGGATCAATAAGAAAAAAACAACTGGACCGAGAAGAAACAGTACAAAACATAACTTGGATCAGCAAGAACAACAATACAAAGCTGATCAATACGCATCCAAGAAAGATAAACAGCGCTGGACCAATAAGAACAAAAACGCAACAGCAAGACCAATAAGCAGCCAACACAAGAACAGACCGGCAAGAGAAACAACAACTGGCCCAAACATAATCTAAGACAATGAAACTAACAAACTCCTGGACCAACAAGACAAACAGCAAACAAACTACACCAACAAGAGAAACGCCAAGGGTAAAGGTGGACTCGCTGTGCACGAAAGTTTTCTTCGCTGCCCTGAGCGCAGGACCCATGTATTCGTCGCTGGGCGGAGAGCCATACTTACCCCAGTCGCCATCGTTGGCCTGACGCCGGTTGACTTGTCTCAGCAAAGTTAGGGGTCTCCGTAGACAAAATTGGACGCCGCCCGTTGTCTTGTCTCAGCAAAGTTAGGGGACTCCGTCCAAAAATGGAACCCCCCCTAGGAATTCCGGGGCTACTCCATGGCGCGTGTGGTTTTGGGGCAGCCGCCGGCCGGGCCCCAAAGTGAGTGGTGTCCTTTCGGTTTCAGTTCCACCGAAAGGGGCCCCGAGAGGTCGGGACACACCCAGCCGACCCGAAAGCTCACAGGACGGGACCTTGGGCCGGTGGAACCCACCACTAGGGTACAGCCATGAGATGGCGTGTGCTTGCTCAGGTGGGATTGACTGACACCTAAGTCTTGGGTTGACGTTGGAAGGGGAGCAACAATCTAATTGTTCAGCAGTTAAGTGGGGATTTCCCACTAAACCACAACAAGCAAACATGTAAAATGTTTCCCAAGGTGATGACATGAAGACCTGCTGCCGAGGATTGTCCAGTAATGCTCATGCTGATTGCCCTCCTTCGCTCGTGGTTTCCTCTAAGAGAATCCCTGGGTTCGTTCTTAAAACCCGGAATGGTCAGTCCCTGCAGAGCACCAGCAAGTTTCAGAACCGGGTCATTCCAACTCCTTCCCTATCTAACCAAGGGAAACAATGGACAGGGCCCTTGCCCATCGCTGCCCCGGGCGCCTGACCTTCCTGGGTTTTCTCTACCCAAATTGGTGGCCAGGAGTCTTGACCACAAGGTTTGCACTCCCAATCAATGCCCAGGAGAACATGGGGGAGAACAACCTTTCTACAGTGTGTCTGTGTCCTGCTGATGTTATATATATATATATATAGTAGCAGGTACATATATATATATATAGTCACTCATTTCCCATGTCGCCTTGGTGTAGTGGTTTGGGGGCATCGGACACCGTCCCTAAGGATTTTTCGGCCACTAGCTCCACGTCAACAGCAAACAAGACAGAGCAGCCCAAGTCCAACCCGAAGATTGAGGGCTGCAATGCCAGTTGGAAGTGAGAAGCCAGGAGCAAGCCCATTTGTCCATATGGCAGGGATCGTTGGGGTTCTCGCGCCTCCTGCTCGTCCATCCACTTTGAGTACTCCCCGCTCCATCGGAAGAAGACCAAAGAGACTTGGCACCTCGCGAGATTTGGCAAAACGAGCCCTTCGGTTGGTCTCAATGGGCGGGGTGCACCTAAAAACGGCGGGATGAGAGGGGTGTCTGATAGTTTCCCGAGAAAAAACATATATATATATATATAATATATCTCAAAATGGGGAATCCGCAACAAGGAACCAGGAAACCGGTAAACCATTCACAGATTCGACCATCTAAGCAGGTTGCGAAATGTGCGCACAACCAAGCTTGAGGACGGAGGACTCAGTCGGGGTTGGTTGCCAACATTTGTGGAGCAGCAAAAAACGACAAGGGACACGTCAGAGGTTGAAGTTCGGTGTAAGCCGCTAAAGAAATTGAACCGCCTCAGAACCTGAACCCGGCGACTCCCTGCTTCACCAGCCCAGAAAAAAACAGGTCAGTGTGCATCAGGGCTGTGGGAAATGGAATCCGCTTCTGTGATGCAACAAAAAGGGCCTCCCAAAGAGCAACCCCCCATATAAAGAGGGGATTCCCTTGTATCACACAAGTGGGGATAAACCCCTTGATCCCACGACCCTGGAGTGCATCTGTTGAATTTCCTGAAGAAGGAATCACATGATGACCATCCATAATTCACTTTCGTATTAGATATTGTCCTTCTTCCACCGTTCGCCCGCTCATTTCTTTCCCTTGCATCTGCTGGTGATAAACTCCTTGAAAGAGATCCAAAGTTCGAGTAAACAATAAAGGATTGGAAAGAAATCACTTCTTCATTCCTCCAGTCCTTAATTGTCAGCTTTTGGTGAAGACCAGGGAAGTGAAACAGAGATGACACGAATAATAAAATGAATTCCAAGTTCCAATCTAACCCCCCGGGCCTTGGCCCCTGGCAAAGGGCCTTTTGGACATCTCCAGGTGCCTCTCAACAAGTCCTTGAACGACCTAAAGCAGCAAACAAGCCGAACTTAAATTTGCGGGCCAGGGAGGCCAAACCCGGAATTTCGCTCTTCCAAAGGGGCGGGTAGAGGTGACATGGTCTTTTTTGGAGGGCGCCGGACACCAAATTAGGGGTTCTTTAAGCATTCCCCCATAAGTCCGACAATCTACCCCAATCTAAACCAGGCCAAACTAGCCCAAAGAGACTCCGCCTTAACATGAAGAGGGATGTTAGGTAGAATGCACAATCCGCAAAAAAAAAAAAAAAAACAGCTTGGCTCGGTCAACATCTGTGCGAAGTCATAGTCAAACGTGAGGGCACACGCTGGTCTCTTGGAATCAGTTGTTGGCTGCCGCAATGCCTCGACTGCCTTTGCAACATCCCAAAACACTACCAGCTCCTGCTCTACTATTTGCTGCTTTGCGGATTGAAGCCAAATCCCTGAGAAGCCTGGATACACCTAAAGTCTTGCCAAGTTTTTTGGGAGTCCGCTGCTTTGTGGGAAACTCTGCGGCAGTGCCCCGTGCTCCCAAAAGGACCATTGGATATGTTGACAGACCCATGCACAGGCTTCTGCGCTTCCAAGGCACGGCGGGTTCTTGGTGAAGCACAACCAACGAACCTTAGAGGCGCGAAAGCCCTTGGGCCATCGGGTGGTTGCACCTTTTAAATGGGACTACATGGAGTTTGATGAGGTCACAGCCCGTGTAAACTTGGAGAAAAACTACCTTCCAAACCGGTTGGTGGGGGGGTTAACACTTTTTATATGGGGTTTGATGGGGTCATAAACCTTCTAACTGGGGATACGTGGGGTTGAACACCTTCTAAGACAGACAAACCAGGCACGGCCTTTGGCGCGCAAGGCCCTTTGGCCAACACCTGATCAAGCCAGGGAGGTGGCTCCAACTTGCCAGACCCCACGGGTCTAACACATCGGGGCAGCACTTGCGGCGCTGCTTTTTCCATCCCCAGCCGCGCAGTGTTGGAGTGAGACGAGCACAACCAAGGACGTTTCGCCCTCGAGAAAAATCGACTTCCCAAACTCCAGCTGCGCCGTGTGGGAGGAGCACCATCGAAACGAGCACGCCGAGTGACAAACCAAAACGTTTGCCAAGCCTCCGCGCCGCGTTGGGGGCACAAGCAAGTGGCAAGCAGAACGACAAACCAGCTTCCAGCCGCTGCGTTGGGGAAGGCACCCCGGCGCCAGCACGCCCAAAAAGGAAAACATGGAGGGAACAAAAGTACACACAGGGCGCGTGGGAGGAGTCCCGGACAGCGCCCAGGAAACCTGGTCGAGAATGACCGGCTGCTGTCCAAGAAGACTACCTCCAGGTCGGCGGAAAGAGCCGGTGGCTCAAAAAAGAATCAAACACAGGCAACGGTGCCAACATCACGCGCGACAGAAAGCCGGCACGCCTAAGGCCGGAAGGCGGGCGGCCTTGGTGGAGTCCCCCTCGTTGTCCCCACGGTCCGGGGACTGGGTCGGACATGGGCTTGGCCTGGAGCAAGGACGCGGTCTCGGACGATTCTTGCGCCAAAGAAGGCACAGCTGGGTAGGGGGCCATACGGCTTTGGAACGCCCTGTCCCAACCTGTGCCATCTGCGCAGTGTCACCAATGCTGATGCGCTCGCCACGTCTGCCGATTATTTGGCCCAGGCCAAACACCGGGGCGAGCCCACATGGCTGCGGTTCTTGACCACCTTCTAATGGGGGGGAATAAACCTACTACTCGGGTTAGAATAGGGGTTGTAAACCTTCTAAATTGTGTGAAATGGAGCTTGATGGGTTCAGAAACCTTCCACTTGCTCTTCAAGGGGGGAAGGCAAAAGCCTTCTAATCGGGATTCAATTGGGGTGTAAACCTTCCGACTGGGATTAAATGGCGGATTATAAACCTTAAACCTTCTAATTGAGGTCCCCCCACCCTTGTTTTGAGTTATTGTTTCCTTCTACCACCCAAAAGGGGTCCGCCATTTTGAGAAGACCGAGACAGGAGCAAACTCAAGTTCTCTCCCAGACATAGACATGGCCTTGCCCAGTTGGCCTGCCCCTCCATCGAATGTTGGGAATCCAACAGGGGCGTGTTTTGGAGGGTACCTTTCTTTGGTTGGTTTTCCGGGAAACCCAAATTGGAAGAGATCGGCATTTTGTGGGGTTCTCACATTTTGAGAGATACCCAACCGAGCACTCTGATTGAATCGAAAAAATATTGAAACGGGTGAAAGCGGTATTGAGCAACACTTTCTCACTTGTGGAGGGTAACACCCCCCCTATGAATAAACTGGGGTTGCTCAATATTGGTCTGAATCTTAATTAGGAACTCTGGTGGACATCATTTAGGTGGGGATCCATGTCCACCAACCACTTTGGAGGGGGTTCCCTATTAAAATGCATAGCCATATTATGGCCCTGGGTCAAAACCAATGAAATCCCATTTCGGGGTAGGTGAATTCACCACCCCTTTTAGAACCTATCTTAGTGTGGGGATTGGGATGTGGATGTTCACTGGGGGCGAATTAGCCGATTTGGCTTTGGACATATCGGCCATATTGGGTCAACCTCCCAGAAACATCTCCCACTGGGCGTCCCCTGCCCGGCGAGGGCCACCTGCAGGCTTGGTCTGCCCCTGGCACTTTGCGGTCGATATTTTGCCCACCATTGGCTCGGGCTGTCGTGCTGCGATGGGAGAACCGCCGGGAACCGCGGGGCAAAGGATTTTCTCGAGGGGCTGCGGGGCTGATTCCTTGTCCGTTCTTTTCAACCCCAGCTGCTTCCAACCTGGGCTTTTGATGGTTTGCTGAAAAGATTCGGATCCCTGGAAAAGAAATTCGGATCCCTGGAAGGAATCCCCTAGAACTTGAAACGATCGTCACGGAAATGGAGGTTCCAAAGAAGGGAAATGCAGGAAGCCCTGTCGAATCTGACCATGGACGTGTACCAACTGAATAGCGCAATCTGGTTTCCTGTGCTAGTGAAATGGCATGCCATTGCCATACCCCTGCTGGGCACGCATGTTCCTGAGCCATGCTAAAGGCTTGCATCGCACTTGCCTAACTTGGGGTTGCGTCAATTTTTACTCAACCCACCCAAAGGAAAACAAAGGCCGTCACTGAACAACTGGGATGGTGACAGATTGTTTGGTAGCCAATCAACAAGTATCCGAAATCCGGCTGGCTGCAAGTAGAAAGTTCCTAAGACTTCCATTTGCTTAAGCCTCCTGGACAAAATGAGAAAATATATCCAGTAGTGAAATCGATTCCCACTAAAATCAACAGGGGGAAAAGCAACACATATTCATTTCAGCAAATGGAAGAAGAGAATCTGATAGATTCGAACCACCAGTTTGTAGCCGGGGGACTGGTTTGACGGGCCAAAACTTCCAGGGAAACCAAAGGAAGCCGTCCAAATCTCCTTTCATACAGTGCGAGAACCCCTGTCGATCTCAAAGTTGAGTTTAATATCATCTTTCTCAAAGCTCCGTGCGTGCTCGGCAACTAAGCTATGACCCGAACCCGAAAAACTCAACAATGCCAGAGTCGTCCATGTTTTCAAAGGTCCGCAAAACGGACCCAGGCAAGTCAGTTTAAGGTGGGGGGGGGGGGGGGAAAGGGCTTTGTGCTGGGGCCCAAGAGCGGCAGTCCAAATGGGGCGTGGGGCGAACTAGGGCGGGGCAGATTGGCTTCACGAAATAAACAAAGAACCAACCCCAAAGTCAGGTAGCCTTACTTTCTGCTTTGGATTGGTGATTTGTGGATTTGAACCCTGGTTCTGCGCTCCTAACCACCCGTTCTTGGGGAAGCTGGAAAAGGGGGTACCCTAAACAATGGGCAACTTTTCCGCATGGATTTGCTTGCACCCGCTCCCCGCCGTGTGTCCAAATCACGACAACGCATCCTCACTTGAGTGAATCATGCAGGTTGTTGATTTTTGATTCTGTTTGCATAGCAACGCGCTCAGACCCACCCTAAACCCAGAGACACATCCATGCAGCCCCCCAGACACAAAATTACAAGCCGCGCCTGGCGGGTCACGAACTTGTACTCAGCCTTGGGCTGCACCAGGGGCCAGGTCTCCTACGCGAGTCGCGAGCGAGTTGCGCGACTTGAAGCGGTAGCCTCCAGCCCCAAGTGGGGACTGCAGACAGGCGGGACGCAGAAAACAGAATCTGATTGTCTATCCTAGTGCTTCATATTTGGTCTGTAAGATATTGCTTTTCTCTTTTTCTTTTTGGGGGGGGGGCGTTTTTTTAACATGCTTGGAGGGAAATAGCATCTTCTTATTTTCTGTCACTGTCTCATATTTAGTCTATAGATGTATTAAATGAACAACTTTTGGAGGAGACCGCCAACTTGCGCCCAACCCGTTCGGCAGTGGAACTTTGGGGTCGGCGGCGTGCTTTCCAGGGCTCCATGCATGGCCCTCCTCCGGGCGTCTCCGCTTTCACTGTGCATGCCTCGAAATTCGGAGGAAAAACACTTTTTTGAGGGGCCCTGGAAGAGGGCGTGGAAGTTGGCCGGAAGATCTTGACTGATCAAGATTGGCCAACACTACTGCGGATGGGCGCAATCCATTTCGCACCACCTAAGAAAACCTGGAATGATGATTTCCCTGCAAATACCCAAAAAAGACAATGGCTAGGCATGGTTTCAAAGTGCTGCAGGATTTTGTCCATCCACACTAAGACTCAATCCACATTGGCCAGTTCTACACAAATACTCAAGGAGCGATGCTTTCCGCCAACTCCAACTCCAGTTGAAGGGGATAGTACTAAGCCTAGTTCTACTACAAACAAGAGCTATACGTTATACCTCAAGGTGTGAAAAATATGGCCATTCTTGAGTTTGATTCCAAAGTCCTTGGGATAAACAAGGCAACTTGGAGGACTTGTTTCTTTCGGCCTACCTATGCAAAGAAGGCACCCAGTACTAAAGATGGATCACTTAAACATACTTAAACCCAAAACCTGAGGCCCCCCCAAAAGGCAAGCAAAAACAACAAGCAATCAAGCAAGCAAGCAAGCAAGCAATCAACCAGTCAGTCAGTCAGTCAGTCAGTCAGTCAGTCCGTCAATCAATCAATCAAACAAGATGTTTCCCCAGGGGTCATGCAGACCGGTGACCTCAGTCTGATCGTCTCGATGTGGCTTTGGCGCCCAGGCTGCCAAGCGACTCAGTTTAAGACAGCTGTGCTCAACCCGCCTCGATCTGTTGATTTCCTGTTCTACTTTTGGCTGGATGCTGGTTACTCCAGCGTTTGCCGGGACCAAACAAAAACATTTCGCTCTGACCCATATTTGGTGAACCGTGATAACTCCAGTATTCCTGGCCCAAAGTGGGGTGGTGAACATGACTTCATCCCCCCCCCCCCCCGCCGCCACAAAAAAACATGTTCCCCGCGCCCACCCTTCCCGCTCAACAAAAAAAGCTGCCCAGGCGGTCCCCAACAGCCCGAACCCCGCTAGAATTTTCCGTGAAAGCTGCTCCAAGCTACCTCAGAGGCTTTCAGCTGTCGAGACGGAACAAACACACACAACAACCCCCCCCCAAAAAAAAAGAAAAACACGAAAAAACAGAAAGAACACGAACAAACAAAACAAGTTCCGCCCCCCCCCTCCAAGCAAAAAAAAACAACTGATCAGGGGCACCCCCTCCCCTGAAGAAAACCGCTCATCAGACGCCTGGCGCTCCGGCTCCAGCTTGCTGGGGTCATAGGACTGCTCCAAGGTGCCATGCCTTACGCGCCACGCGCACCCAAAGCGGGTGTTCCTTTCGGTTTCCCGTTGAGACCATCCCAAAAGAGGGGTTCCCCCAAAAAGGACGAGCCACCCATTTCTTGATCTTGTTAATATATTCAAAGCAAGCTTAGACAGATGCAGTTCCGAAGATTTACACACGAATGTGGATGATGATGATGATGATGATGATGATGATGATGATGATGATGATGATGATGATGACGATAATGTAAACAGTCAAGTAAACAGAACCGACTGGACCAAACATATCAACCCAAATAATTCCCTTTGAACCAGTCAAACAAGGAAATCCCTCATAACAACGACTAAGAATCGACCAATCCTTCACCATCATGATTCCTAAGGGAACCATAAGTTATAGGCCATACATAATGAAACCTGACCCAGCCGGCGCAAAACGGCCCTGCCGGCGCACTGGACGTCGGTAACGCCAGCAGGTCGCAGGGTCCAAGGCTCTGACAGCCAGGCGTGCGACGCTGCGAAGAGGAAGCTGCCTGACATGAGCCGCTCCCTGGAAGTGTGTTCTTCTTATTCATTTATCAATTTATATACTTCAAATCGTTATTTCTGTATGTTGTATTTCTTTCTTTATGTCATTTATCGTTTTTTTTTTTTTTTTTTTATCTATCTAAGTACTTCAAATCGTTCTTTCTTTGTTTCCTTTGTTTCCTTTATTGCTTTCCGTCTGTCTTTGTGTCTTTCTTGCCTTTATTTGTTTCGGTATTTTGTTGTTTCGTTTCCTTCTTGTAGTAGCTTTATTTATGTATTTATCTATTTATCTGTTTATTCAGTTTTTCCTTGTATGATATTGTCTTTCGTTTGTCTTTTGTTTTCGGATTTATTTGCTTGTCTGTTTCCTATATTTTCATGCATTACGTTTTTGCTTTATGTAGTTTTTTTCGAACCGAGATGTGTTGCATGCCGTTGCTTTTCTTAATCTGTATATTTATGTTATTCCTTTATTTCTGGAGGAAAGGACTTCTTATCTGCTATTTATTTACTTGCTGTATGTAGTTGTGTATGTGCTTTATTTCCCTTTTCTTACTTTCTTTCTGTCTTTCTTTCTTTTTGTACATGATTTCCTTCTTTCTTTCTTGCTTTCTCTCTTGCTTTTGTTACCTTTGGATTGTTTGGCTTATCTTCCTTTGTCTTTTCTCTGCTTCTTTGTTTCTTCCTTTCTTGCTTTAACTGTTGTTTTCTTGCATTCATATCTTTCTTTCGGTCGTGCATCATGTCTTTCCTTATGAGTTTCTTCATTTTCATTATGTTGTTCTTTCTTTATTGCTTTCTTTTTGTGAGTCTCTCTCTCTCTCTCTCTTTCCTGCCCTGGGAGCGAAGGGGCACACGCGGTCTTCTACCATGGTGGCTCGCACAACATAACCTGATGAATCCTGCATTGCCACCTGGTCACCCCAGTGACCCTGGCAGAGAGCGGAGAGAGAGACAAAGAAAGAAAGAGAGAGAGAGAGAGAGAGACAGAGAGAGAGAGAGAGAGAGACAGAGAGAGCGAGAGAGGGGCCTAGACCTAGACCTAGACCTACCAAAGAAAGGAAAAGGGTGCCGCTGAACCACTGCGCCCTCTATTTTCTAATGGCGTCTCTATTCCAAAGAGCCAGATTTAATCTGGGGCTACCCTAGTACAGGGAAATCCTCTGTTCTGTGGGGTCCTTTGGATAAGTCTGGCATATGCCTGGCTTCACAATGCTGGCCGACCTTCTGCCGTCTGAAAAAGCTTGGAGCGGCTTTGCGACAGTCAATCCGAGTCTTTGACTGCGTACGGCTGGCGGCATGGCAGTCAAACTCGGAAATCGATGTGCTTGTGCTTGAGTGCTACTTCTTGAGTCATCCAATCGAGGCTAAAAACTTATCTTGATTTGAAGTTGAAATTGAATATATGCTAACTTAACCAAGAAGTGCCTTCGGCAATTGGAAACAACTCAATACTCACTTGGGCATGAACTTTAATCGGTGACCCTTTGGTGGACGTCATCCAGGCGGTGATTCATGTCCGCCAACCACTCTTGAGGTGGTTCCCCATTAAACATCACTACCATGTGGGTACCTCTTTTGAGACCCCAACATGGTGGTTTTCCTTTCGGTGTCCCAGTCAAGAAACCCAAAAAGGGGTACCCTCAAAAACAAGCACCCACGCGCCCACACACACACACGCACGCACGCACGCACGCACGCACGCACGCACGCACGCACGCACGCACGCACGCACGCACGCACGCACGCACCCCCACCCCCCCCCCCCACACACACACACACACACACACACACACACACACACACACACACACACACACACACACACACACACACACACACACACACACACACACACAACACACACAACACACACACACACACACACACACACACACACACACACACACACACACACACACACACACACACACACACACACACACACACACACACACACACACACACACACACACACACGCCAACAAACACACCAACAAACACACCAACACACACACACACACACACCAACAAACACACCAACAAACACACCAACAAACACACCAACAAACACACCAACAAACACACCAACAAACACACCAACAAACACACCAACAAACACACCAACAAACACACCAACAAACACACCAACAAACACACCAACAAACACACCAACAAACACACCAACACACCAACAAACACACCAACACACACAACACACCAACACACCAACACACCAACACACCAACACACCAACACACCAACACACCAACACACCACACACACACACCACACACCACACACACACACACACACACATTCGAATAATTGTCGTCGGTGAAGTTTCCGAGCGCTTGCCCACATGAGCAAACGAGTCGCCGCGCTCGGTGTGGACAAATGGAACCCGTTTGGAGGTTGACTGTGTTCACCAACACAAAAACATTGAGCATCTGGCGTGCTTCAAGCGTCTCAGCATCTTGCCACAGGGGTCTTCTCACCAGGATCAGGTAAGACATGAATGATGCAGTAATTAGCTGTGCAAACCCCACCCCATGGTGCTGCGTAAGGGAGACTGAACAACGGACAGCAACAACTTCACCACTGCACTGCTCGCAAATCTTTGAACTGACAAGTCCCCAGCGATTGAACATTGAGGCGCTAAACCCATGTGAGAAGCCGCTGAATTGGTTTCAATCGGCCCATTGTCCCTGAGGAATGGAGGATGTTCAAACAAGCTGCCTTTGACCGCCAGTAAAGGCGGCATCTGCAAAGACGGAAAGCGTTCCTGCCTGCTGCCCGAGCATTCTTCGGAGTGCCGCAGAAGAGCAGGGACGCCTGAAATCCCGCATGCCGGCCAAACCAACCCCAGAGACCCCACCAAGGGTCGTGCTTGGCCGCGAGTTCAGAATGAAGAAGGCATTAGGTTGATGTGAAACTCAGCCGACACAATCGGCCGACACTGATGTGAAATTTGGCCGACGAGAATGTAATTGTTGGCCGCCACTTCTGTAAAGTTAGCCCGAAACATGCGTGAAGTTCGGCCGACGTTCGGCCAACAGCCCACATTGTTGCAGCCGTCGTTTGCCAGCAAAGCATCCCAGCAATCCCGACCGTCCCAACCATCTCAACTCACAACCGCCCCGACCATCCCAACCGTCGCAACAAACCTGAGCCTCCGGCGTTGCGCACGTCACTAAACTAGACGATGCCAGCCGTCCCGACCATCCCAACCATCCCGACCGTACCGACCAACTTTGAAGCCACGATGAACCAACCCTGAACCATCCCCAAAGCCATCCTAAACCATCCTAAAACCAGCCTTAAAGCCACTCTAAACAAACCCTAAACTGACCCGAAAAACATCCTTAAGCCACGTGTCTCTTTGAGGGTACCCTTTTTGGATTGTTGGGGGGCCCTATTTTAAGACACACCCATTTGGGATGTCGAACTATATATATAAATAAATGCTACCCCCCCAAAAAAAAAGAAAGCGAAAGCCTTTTTGATCTGTGAGGAAATGAATAGAACCTGGAAAGGATGGGATGCTTCTTGGCATGACATTAAATCCTAAGAAATGCATGGGGAAGAAAAAGATAACAAGACTAGCAATACATATTAAATTACAATGATACCCACAGAGATAGAGAGAGAGACAGAGAGAGAGAGCGAGTGTACATGAGGATGAACACGATAAATTGTTAGTAGTAACAGTATGTTCTCCCTCGACGATTAATCCACTGCAGCCTTCTCTTGATTCCTACGCCTCTATGATTACATTGTTTAACTCGAGAATGAAATGATGTAGTAAAATACTAAGACAGGATGTCAAACAAATTGAGCTTGAGACCTGAAGAAGGCTACGTTGCAAATGTGGTTTTCTGGAAGCAGACATTCTCCCACTGCCCCCATTTGTTGTTGTTTGTTTGTTTGTGTCTTTGTTTCGGATTCCAGCTACCTTTCCCTGCTGTTCTTCCCCCCCCTCGGTCTTTGAGGGTTTGTCCAGAGCATGGACATACCAGTGAATTCTGCAAACACGCAGGTTTTGTTGCTGGGGGGGGGGATACTATGTATATATATATATATATAAGTATATATATATATATGTATACAGATGCATATATATATATACATATATATATACAGATACATGTATATATATATCTGTATATATGTATACAGATATATATATATATATATATATATGTATATATATATATATATACTATGCAAACGTTCCTTTTGCTCACCGCTGGCCTCAACTTCGCTGGCATCGGACTCGAAGAAGAAGAGGACCTGCAGGGATCCACATGGCAGGGACGTGGCGTCGAAGACTCGTCTGGGCTGTCCGTTTTCAGATCCCCCGCTGAAAGTTTAACTTTTACTGGTTGAGATTCTGCCGGGGAAGGTTCTGAGCGTTTCCAGAAATCAGCCATGAGAGCTCCCTCGCCTGTTGACCCTTCTGCATGGGTCCAGACTCACCAGGATACCTGGCACGGCTGGCCGGCCACGCCATCGGCACACAAAGAAGCGTCAGAAGCGCCCGTCGAGCTATGCCAAGGTCACTGCTCAACTAAGGAATAGTTGATAGGTCCAAATGGGGCTATGCAGGGAGTAATTATTTGGATTTGCTTCAAACTTAAGCGGCCCAGCAAAAAAATAACATGGTTGGTTTCCGCATTGGTATGCCACCAATCCACCGGGAAAAAACACACACACACACAGACTTAGACTAGCCACGCGCTGAAGGCTGTGATACGAAGCTCTTCTCAACCTTGGCCCGGCCAAAAAGCAGAAGTACTACATACAAGGCCCAAAGTCGCAAAACACATAAAACAATTCCAAGTCCCAGGGCGAAGTATACACCTTCTCTGCCTATGTTTGGTCAATTCGGCTGAGCCACGGCCGCTTGGTGCCGTTCGCCCCGTTCATGGCACAGGACCAGTCGTGGATGTATGTTCTGTCGTTTTCCGAATTGTATTCCGCGGAATCAACCAGGTTCACAAATCCCAGATCATCTGACAGAATGGCGAACGCTCAAATTGGATTAAGCAGGGATCCATCTGAAGGCAGGGAATCTGTGGCTGACTTGTGCTGCAGCTTGCACATGGTCCATGGTTGCGTCACTGGATCCAGCGTGCGCGAGGCTCCGAATCTCAAGCAACATGCATATCAACTAGGAACTCCCATTTTTGTGTGGCAAAATGACGGTGCGCCAAGGGAGGTTGATTGCTGGCCCAGCCCAAGGCGGGCAGGACCAAGGCATGTTGACCCCATATTAATCAACCCCGGTTTATGAATAGGGGGTGTTGCCCTCCAAAAGTCATGACTCCCCACTAAATTTAGGGAGAAGCACCCGCCTTCTTATGAACAGTGGTTGATTGACACGGGGTCAACATTACCCACAACATTGCCACCTAACAGGTGACTAGCCAGACATGGCATGCCGAATGCCAAGGATTTCCAGTCTACAACCCGCACATGGAGGTACAGCGCAGGTCACGTTGCACCAAACAATTCGCTGGAGGCGTTTCTGGCATTGCTTCCCTGACCTGGACGCCACGGGCGATTCCTCTAAATTGATGTGTTCTGTGAGTGTGGAGAAAGCATTGACTGAATGAGCAATGACAAAACAACACAGACCTGCGGCCGTTTTATGGAAGAAAGGCGCCGATTGGTGCAGTGAGGATAACTTTCTCCAAAAACGGCGAAAGGGCCTTGCTAGGGACCATCTGGCAGGCTTTTGAATTCGCGCAAGTGAGGGGCTTGCGAAGCTCAACGGCTACTGGCATTTAGCATACTTAGGCGGGGCTAGTAGCCTTGGTCTGGGAGCTAAGTGAGTAGTTTTGCCCCCCATTCACCGCCAGCGAACCCCCCAAAGCTCCTAAGTAGCCATGTAAGTAGCCCCCACACCACCGAACTACATTCCCTCGCAGCTATTTTCGGCCCGTCCGTGCTCGAAGCCGGCGAAGTCGCCGCATCTCGCTGGTTCTCTCCTCGAAAATGAGCCTGAAGGAATGATTGGAGAACACCCCGTGTGACCCCTGACCCCTGACGAAAGGTGACAGTTTTAATTTTAGTGGAGAACCCACCAAACCAAAAGGGAAGAAAAGGGGCGCTACTGTGCTGGGACACAAAGCATGAGTCCTTCTGTCTTCACGGCATACAAAAAAAAACAGCCTTCATGCCAGAGTTGGCCAGTCAAAGCTTCACGGCGCACCAGATCTCTAACATCTCGCAACAAGGACCACTGCACACAAAAAAAAACGCCACTGCTCATCCCGTTCTCCCTGCAAACTGACCCCTCCAGCCATGGGAGAAAGCAGGGCCATGGAAAGTTGACGACTCCCAGCTCCTGCGCTCTCCGCGGTTTCCGGTTCCTCCGGCCCGTCCGACGCGTCCGGCCCGTCCGACCCGTCGGAGTCCTGTCGCGAGATCCAGACTTGGTAAGAGATGCGGTCAATCAAGGGGCCCTTGGGCCTCTCAGAAATTGGATTAAATGCTTTGAATTGCGGGGGCGGGGCTCAGGATTGGCTTCATTAACTGGGAGGGGGGCCCGGGGCTGATCCCATTTTATGAGCTCTCGGTGAAACTTTCATAAATGAGGGGAGCCCAGCCAGGTACTTACCGATGGGTTCGTTGGGTCCAAGTTGTGGGTTAAGCGACCGAACGCAAAACCAATTACGAGTTGAACAGCAAGCAAAGCAATCAGGCACCAGGTGAAACAGCAAGCAACCGCAGCCTTTCCAGTTCTGGCTGGCTGTTGAAAAGCTCCATTTTGCCACCGTTGGCTTGTTGGAGTGGGTAGCTCACTTCCTGCAGGGATTGCCCCAACAAAAGTCGAGTCCAAACTTAGCATTTTCAACTTTGTTTGCTCCCAACAAGTTGTGTAAAGTCCATGAACTCAGGAAGTAAGGAGTAAATGGTTTCCTGCTCCTCTGCTGGTGCCTAAAAACTTGTTGATTCTCAGCAGGGAATGAGAAATGAAATGATCCCAAGAAAAGTCATCCGGTTCTTATGCTTTCCCCAAAACCGGTTCATTTCCAACACCCGGACTCGGAAGCTCATTCCCTACCTACAGAGCACCAACAAGTGTTTAACTTTTCTTTACGCAACTTCCATAATTCTTGGGGTCCAACAACGCATTTCATGTCTTTTAAAGGAACCCCCCCATCATCCTTGGGGTCCTTTTTCAGAACGACACGATTCTGAGTCTTGGAGCCACCCGTTCCCACCGCTCGAGCTTTAGAAACCGCCTGGAAGAGCAAGCCGGCGATGGCTCCTCGCAGCGCCGCGAAGAAGCGGCTCCAGAACTTCACCTGGCGGGTTTCGCCCCACCGGGCTTCGCCCCCCAAAAAAAGCGGGGTGTCCGAAGCCCAAGGGCGACAAAAAGGAAGCCCAACAAAAAGCGCGGGTTTGAAACGCCCCCCTTTAAAAAGGGAACCAACAGCAGAAGAGAAAATTCGAAGGAAAGAAGCTAGAAATTGAGAGAAAAGGGAAAAACCCAAAACAAGGAAACGAAAAGCAGCTCCGAGATAAAGGGAAACGGGTGAGAGACACCAGGAAAAACCAAGGGGGACCCGAAAAGCTAACAAACATGGGGCCCTTCACTCCCGTCAACCAACTCATCCAAGGACAATTGTCGTTTGAACACTTGTCCGGTCCATTTTGAAGTGCCTTTTGATTCGTTATCCGGGGCTGGGGCAAGTAGTAGCACATGCAATTGTGTAATCATCCTGACCTCGGTGGGCGTTCCCCACAAGCAGAAAACTGCCGGCGCTCGCTCGTCGCTGGCTGGGCTCCAGTTGCGAGCTCTTGGGAACCCAAGCCGTGCATCTCGCTTACAAGGCCTCCAGGAACACCAAATTTTCCTTTGGATGGGTGCCTTGTGAGGCCTGCACTAGTTTTGGGTGGCTCCGAACTCCTTGCAGCACATCTGGGCAAAGAGACGCCGATCGAGCAACAATAACTCAGCTTTTGGCAGCCAATCAACTAAGCTAGGCTCGGAAGAACCCAAGACTGAGCAAGTGGAATCAAAGATTGACTGGGGCCCTTTCAGTTTGCATTCTGAAATTTGTCCTCTACAGGGTGGTTCCAACAGAACTCATCCCCACCAATCTGAGAGCCCCTCATGTGTAAGGGACCTGCCCGGACTCTTCTCAAATGCCGAGAGCTATCATGATTGAGAGGCAGGGGATTCAGACCGGGCAGAGGTTCGAGACACCGCCTTTCGAAAGTGCAGGGCTCTCCATGTCAATGGGGCCACAAGTGTCCCTAAGCACGATGTTTATTCCATCAAATGTGTCAGCTCAGGATTCGCCAATGCATAGCACATGCTCAGTTTAGGCGTCTCTGTTGGTTGGGGCCCAAGAAAACCAGAGCACTGTTTGAAGGTTCAGACACACCCATTTTGGTCTCGTCTTTGGGCGAATAATGGAGCTGGTTTGAGCTGATAAACCCTCTCCAAAAGTCCTCGAACAACCATCCTTTTGGGAGAGAAACCACATCTGTGTCCAACATAAAGCGGAAAAGCGGCAGAAGCACAACAGCACCTCAGTCCGGCATGTGCCGATGTCTCAGTCGCCCCTCAGGCACCCAGAAATAAACCGGTTCTGTTGGGGCCAGGACTAACAAGGAGCCCAACAAGGGGAAACGAAAAGGTCAGATCCGGTCGATTCGCTGCCAAGAGACATGCAGAACCAATGACCGTGTGAGTGAAACTCTTCTTTTTTCAGGGTTGCCCCCTTGCTTCGGGTTAAAGCAATAAGGACCCCCCCCTATATATACTAGGTTCTCCAGTAGAGAGGTTAGAATACGGGTACCCTTTTTGTCTGTAGTCTATTTTAGTAGGGGAACCCTCCCCAAAAAAAGGAATGGGTGAGAAAGGGCACCTATCGCTGGGGGACCTAGTATATATATATATATATACAATTCCTTTTCTGTGGCCACAGAAAAGGAAACCAACGGAGAGCCACCGCTTAGGGCCTCGGAGAGCCGCCTGGGCACCAGCTGGAACCGGACCATCCGCAGCTCCGGGTTCCTCGAATGGATGAGTGGGAGGCTGGGAGAGCGTGGCGGGGGTGTCATGGGCTGTGGGTGGGGGGTGGGTTGATGGCTGTCCATCTACTGCATTTGTTTTTCTAAACTTGGACAACCCAAGGTCGCCTGCCTGACAAAAGGTGTTTCCGTCTTTTCGGTTCAATGTTGACTGGGGACTTTTGTGGCCAACATTTAGGTGTGGAGTAATGTCCACCCACCACCTGTGAGGTGGTTTCTTATTTGATTTCATATCTAATGTTTGAAGAAATCCAAACCTGGCGACGAGTAGTGGCTTCGGAGCCGAAACTTCGCCATGGGCTTAAGGCGCGTGATTCGCTGGGTCTCAGATAGCCTCGCCGCAAAGGGACAGACTCATTCGGATGTCCAGACGACAAATCGGCTGCGACTCCTGGAAAAGGTCTCCAACCGGAAGCATCGCCGGGGAGAAACACGGATCCAGTTCAAAATGTTCATTTGCCCAATGGGATTAAGGTGTTGTATTCAACTTCTTGTGCAGGTCGGATCGAATGTGGCCAAGGCTCTAGGAGTCAATGTTGTCCCCATGAGCTTTGCTTGGTTAGGGGCTCACAATTGAAGCAACTAACCAAAAAACTCGCCGGGTAATTATGGGTTCGGGGCCCCCGGGCCATCGGATTTGCGTCCGACGATTGGTGTCGGATCGTCGATTGGCCAGCTGAAGCTTGGAGGCTTGAGAGAACATCCGTCTCGAGCGGGAGAAGACGGGAAGACCCGCGAGCCAAAATCGGCGCTAGACACATTGCGTGGGGGAAAGTGCAAGCTTTATTCTCAAAAGAAGCATGACCAGCATGGAATTCCCATCTGGCTTCATTCTGATTTCAGGATCTAATCCAGCCTTAAGCTTCAGGCACAAGCACGTTTCTTGCCCACAGAGTTTGCGCTTGCATTTTTGCGGGGGCCCGTTTTGAAGTTGCGTTCAACGGCAACCAACCGCAAAACATTTTGACGTACACCCCGTGCCCATTTCTCGCCCAGCTACCACTCCAGCAGCGCTCCGGCCCACTCCGCAAAGTACGTGTCGTCGTCCATCGTGAACCCTTTCCGGGCTCGGGGTGCAACCCGATTCGGCGTGCCCCCTGGTTTGGCGGCTTTCAAGCAAACCAAAAGGAAACCCCTTCTTTTTTTTGGCGGGGGTCCCCTAAAACCATGCTGGAATCAATGTATTGCCTGAAGGATTGTTTTTTACTAGGTTGATGACCATGCCTACCACACCCAAGTAAATGTGCCTCAAGACATCATACCCATTAGGGAGGGCGCGGTTTGGCACTCTCCCAACTCAAGCAGGACAAAATCTGCAGCACTAAAGCAGCAAAGCACCTGACCTCAGTATCCAAATTGGGGGGAGGGGGGGAGCTCATACACAGAAGCATTTGTATGGGGCAGCGATTGCACAAACGCCACGAAAAGCAAGTCACATGGCAATTACTAGCTTGAGTGCAAAACCAGAGCTGCCCATAAGACCGCAAGTGTGCAGTAGCTCACTTCTTGAGTGGATTGGCCAGAGAATGCCCGAACGTTTTGCTTTCCACTGCTGGGCTGCCCTCAGATCCCCCGCAAAAAGTGACTAACTTTTAGTGGGTTAAATGGAAACCACGAAACACTAAAAGGATCTAAAAAGCTAAAGCTAAGGAACCGGATGGCTGGGAGCCACCAAGACCTGAATGGTCTTCCCAAAAGGATACAGTCCAGAAACTCGAGGAGCGAGGGAACAATGTCAATCACACCTCAGCCGATCAAACAATCCGAACCCTTAACTGGTCAAAGGTGAAAGGGAATGCCCGTTTTCCCTTGCCAACATAAACCATAGACTATGGTCCAGTCTCATGCCAGGAGGGGAATAGTCAACAGTGATAACGTATGAAATTCCATGCCAGACATATGTGCGAATGAGAAACGCTGCAGCCATCCGCTGGTTGAGACACGTTTGAATCAAGTGCTAGTTCGAGCCAACACACGGAGTGTGCCCAAAGCACAACTTCATGGTTCGATCCTGGGGTCAAAGAAAAGAGCAAGCACCAAGAAGACATGATAGCCCGTGGTGTCGAGTATTGTTCACTTCGGCAAGTGCACCTTGACTGTGCCCCGCTGTCATCATGATTGGAGTCCAAGCCTTTTATAACATAATGCACGCACTTTGCATTGCTCTGGGTCAACAATAAAACAGCCATGTGTTGCCCCACGGTTGGACACCAGTAAAACGCAATAATGTGTATAAATTAGGCATACCGGCATACATATATGTATATATATATATATATATACACAAATACAAATATGTGTTTAACATCCGTATGCACGTGCGTGTGTGCGTGTTTTGTTTGTTAAACCGATAAACACGTCTAGTTACCTACACGATCATCTGCATTAACTTGTCTTATCTTATCCATCTACATAATCTGTGTTGTATATCTATGCAATCTATCAATCAATATGTCCTATCTGTTGTACCTATCATATCTATTCTATCCATCCTGTCTATCCCATCTACCTACCTACCTACAAACCTACTACCTACCTACCTACCTACCTACCTACCTACCTACCTACCTACCTACCTACCTACCTACCTACCTACCTACCTACCTACCTACCTACCTACCTACCTGCCCACCTACCTACCTACCTACCTAACCTACCTACCTACCTACCTACCTACCTACCTACCTACCGGACCTACCTACCTACCTACCTACCTACCTACCTACCTACCTATATATCAACATCCATCCATCCATCCATCCATCCATCCATCCATCCATCCATCCATCCATCCATCCATCCATCCATTCGTCCATTCCATTCCATCCATCCATCCATCCATCCATCCATACATACATACATACATCCATGCAAAATCCATCCATCCATCCATATCAATGAACCGATGAATCAATGAACCAATGAATCAATGAATCGTTGAATCAGTGAATCGATGAATCAATGAATCAATGAATGAATGAATGAATGAATGAATGAATGAATGAATGAATGAATGAATGAATGAATAAATAAATGAATGAATGAATGAATGAATGAATGAATGAATGAATGATTGAATGAATGAATGAATGAATGAATGAATGAATGAATGAATTAATAAATGAATGAATAAATGAATGAATGAATGAATGAATGAATGAATGAATGAATGAATTAATAAATGAATGAATAAATGAATGAAGGAAGGAATGAATGAATGAATCAATCAATCAGTCAGTCAATCAATCAACCAACCAACCAACTAGCCAACCAACCAACCAACCAACCAACCAATCAAATCAACTCAATCAATAACTCAAATCAATCAATAAAAAACAATCAATGAATCAATCAATGAATCATTGAATCAATGAATCATGATTGAATCAATGCTTCAATGAATCAATGCTTCAATGAATCAATGAATGAATGAATGAATGAATGAATGAATGAATGAATGAATGAATGAATGAATGGATGGATGGATGGATGGATGGATGGATGGATGAATGAATGAATGAATGAATGAATGAGTGAATGAATGAATTAATGAATGAATGAATGAATGAATGAATGGATGGATGGATGGATGGATGGATGAATGAATGAATGAATGAGTGAGTGAGTGAATGAATGAATGAATGAATGAATGAATGAATGAATGAATGAATGAATGAATGAGCGAACAAACGAAGGAATGAATGCATGAATGAATGAATGACTGACTGAATGAATGAACGAAAGGAAAGCCAAAAGGAAAACCATCATGTTGCGAGGGGTCCAACCGTAAAAACGCAAACCCATCTTGGCCGGGGCCTGCGCTCTTCGGCAGCTCCTCGGGGCATTTTCTCAGGAAGGTCTCCACGTCTGTGGTGAGCGCTTTGGCCGCACTCTGGGCACCTGGTAGAAACCGATCGACCGCTTAACCCAAAAGGGGAATTGCTTTGCTGGTGCGATAGGTAGGGAATGTGGGAATGAACCCAGGGATTCCTGGAAGAAGGAATCCACAAGGGATGGTTTATCAGGGTCATTACCTCATTCCGTTCTGAGCACCAAGATTGCGCCCCTTGGGAAGTAGATTGCGCTTACCAAGTTGGAACTTTTTGCCATTGTCTGCTAGGCTCTTAGGCCCAGCCTGCGCCTGGCTGTCGCACTTTGTCGCAAGGAAATCATGTCAAGAGCTGGAACCCTCCCAGGCAAACCTCTTTGGCCCCTTGAACCCCTTTGGACCAAGTTCCCCAGCTCCTTGTTCCCTTTGGGAACCGGCCCTCAGTTGTGTGACCCTGGAAAAAAAGAGTTGGAACCCTTTTTTGGGGCTTGGACCGAATTTTTAGTGGGGCAGCCACCCAAAAAAAGAAAATAATTGGGGCTGAACAACTGAGGCTTTGCCCTCTTGGAGCCACGGGCTTAGAGCTGAGGCCAGCTCTTGGAGCCATCCAACTCACGATGCCGGAAAAAACGGGCGACTGAAGACACAATTTGGCTGCGGCTCACAAACATGTACCAAAATGGCTGTGGCTCAAAGTTCAAGAGCTAGGGTTACGCGGTTTTAGTCTTGGGTTCCATTTAGCAAGGTGCCAATTATGTACATTTATTTGAGCCACAGCCAAATGGCACCTTGGTATATGGAACCAAAGACGAAAAAAACTGCGGTTTGCCCTGGCTCTTCAAAATTTTGAGCCACACCCACTTGCGATCGGTGATCCATAGGTAGATAGGTCCTCCAGAGAGGTTAGAAGAAGGGTACCCGATGTTTTTTCTGATTCGTCCATTTCAGTAGGGAACCCTCCCCCAAAAAAGGTAAAAGGGCACTACTGGGGGACCTAGTAGAGAACGTGAAATGGAATGAACCGTTTTCGGATTCTCGAAAGGCAACCACCGGCCAGGGATGGTTTTTCTGAGGGTCATTGCATTGAGTCATTCCCTGCCTATCGCAGCCACAGCAAGGAAACAAGATCTTGTGTCGAATTCCACTGTGCTCCCATGGTTCAATGAACTTGCTGGTAAGCCTCTCATGGCAGAATCAAGGTATGAGGCCGGAGTCTTATTCAACTCTTATGTTGCACCCTGAATGAAAGCCGGCCATACTTTTGACAACCCCTCGATGCTTCTTAGGCGCTTGCATGTTAGACCCACAACCAGTTCTAGGCGATTGCATCAGTTTAACGGCTAGCTCCTCTGGATCGGCTGATGCCCGGCTTGATATGTTGTCGGGAAGTGGGTAGAGCACCGAATTGCGCAAACTGGGGCGGCGGTTTACGCACTGACAGAATGAATGGAACCTCCAGAAACATCGGCCAAGCGAAAGTCAGGACGAAAGTTTGGCAGGGGACTGCAACTGATCCATGTTCAATGAGGAACCAATATCACGACCCATCAATTCAACCAGCACTGCAGCCTGACGGATTCTCAAGCGGTGACAAAGAATTCTGGACTATTGGATGGCTTCAGGAGCAAACCAAAACGAAACAAAGCAACTGCAAAGGTCCGTGATAGTGAGCTTCGTTTAGCACTCTTACTAGGATTTCGCACCAACCAAAGACAGCCAAAATATGGTGCCCTGTCGCGGCAACACCCAAGAGAACACCTGAGCGCTTCTCAGCCGCGCAAAGCTTTGCAACAAGGCACGGGAGCCTTTTGAAGCATGCCCATACATCCATCAACGTGGGTCCTGCCTTTCAGGTCGTAGCGGAAGACGCGGTTGTTGGTGGCGTCTTCCTTGCCAAAGGCTGTTGCTGCAAGCAAACATTGCAATCAATCACGCGGCGCATGAACGTGGAAAAACATGACCCGTTCTGCGATACTGAAAAGGGCCATCCCTGTGACTACTTTGTCATTCTAAAGGAGATTCCTTTGGTATCACAGCAAGTGGCACACCCGATTTCCCACAACCACGCGCATGAAATGATTGACAATGCCCGCCAGCGTCTCAAATCAAGTTGCAACCTGCCCAGGCTCTGAAAAACCTTCAGAATGCCAGCACACTCTTTCCTGCATAACTACTCCTCAGCTTTTCCCCGAGAACATTGTGATTTTTGCGTCTGGTCTATATTTAGAGGGCTTGAAATGCAAACATGCCAGCTTGTGCATTGGGCCCAGTTCTAGCCAACCGGCGAACAACCCGGAACAAGCATCCTGTCAGAGGTGCAAGCACCCAACGGGCCAATCAAGAGCAATTTGTTTTTGGCGGTTCCAGTAATCAGCCCAAATGGTCTCAAAATAACGGACCCCGCGAAATGATGGTTGTCCATTTGGTTTGCTTAAATCAAGGGGGTTCGTCCCAAAAAAAAACGCACCCAAGAGTCAATGGAAGCCGCTGTCCTAAAGCCTTCCCTCGCCGGCACGATGTGCCAAGTTGCTGCGCTCCACTGAATCAGGTGGAACCAGGGGAAGACATCATCCTGCGAAAGACAGCTGCCTTCCGATTGCCAAACTGATTCGTTATAAGACACGATCTTTGTTTTTAATTTGAGACCCTTGGCGGACACCATTTACATACGGATTTGTGCCCACCACCTAAGCATTGCAGGTGTTGCCGCGCCCGAATTTGGTTCCCATCACTACCATTTCACAAAAGGGGATTGATGCTTATCAGTTTACAAAGGGATTTGATGCTTATATGGCTAGCCCTCTTCTAAAGCGAGTTTCTGAGATCAGCGATATCTTCTCAAACCAAATCGCGACTGGTTCCAAACCCCAGCCCTTTCTCGCTTGGATCCCGAGGCGCGCGTGCGCGAGCCCAGCCCTCTGGCCTGGCCCGTGCCCAGCCCAGCTCAAACAAGCCCCTTCTGCCAGCTCTAGCCCAATCCATTCCCCCCAGCCCAACCAAGGCTTCGCATGCAGGCGCCTTGGCAAGAGAACCCCGACACGGACATGCACCCGCCATATATCGAGACCACACGCATTTCAGTGCCGACTCACCAACTCAAAAAACACAACGCGTCAAGGCAAAACAATACAAAGTACATCACAGAACGTCAAAAGGCGGGCAGCGCGATGCGTCTATAGTAGTATCATAAAGGGAAGTGATGATTGTCATCATGATAAAGGGGTTGATGCTCACCGTATCATTTGTGTAGGGAATTGATGCTAATAATTCTACAACGGGGAGTGGCGCTTCTCACTTTAAAACAACACGGGTGTTGAAGTGCTTCATGCTATGAAGGACAGTGAGGCTTATCATCACATAAAGGGAAATGATGCTTATCATTTTATAAAGGGGAGTGATGCTTGCCATGTTACAAAGGGGAGTGATGTGCATCATGTTGCAGAGGGCATAGATGCCTATCCTTTTATAATGTGAATGTGTATCGTTTTAGCGAGGAAGTGGTGCGTATCATTTTACAAAAGGGGTTGAAGCCGATCATACTATAAGGCCAGTGATGCCTATCATTACATTGTATAGCGGGGAGTGCTGCTTATCACTTGAAGAAAGGGAGCAATGCATATCAGTTCATAAAGGGGAATTATGCTAAGCTTCATGTAAAGGGGAGTGATGCATATCATGTTGTAGAGAGGATGTGTGTCATTCTCTAAAAGGGAGTGATGCGTATCGCCTTACAAAAGGGAGTGATGCTTATGATTATATAAGGAGGATTTCTATCAATCTCTAAAAGGGAGTGATGTGTATCACCTTATGAAATGGAGTGATGCTTATCATTCTATACAGGGGGTTGAAGCTTTTCATTTTAGGGGGATGGCTCCCTGCTCAAATGCATAGGCCCGTGCCAGCAAAATTCCTGCCTGAAACTCCGCATCGTCGAGGTCCACCGCCGCGCGTGCGACGCGGCCGCCCATGGCAGGCTCCGAGCTGAGACTCGCTATCCATCTGCGCCCGTTTCACCCGTTGAAAGCTTCTTCCAGGTTCTCCAGTAGAGCGGTTGGAATAAGGGGTACCCCTTTTTTGTGTAGTCCATTCTACTAGGGGAACCCTCCCCAAAAAAAGGGTAAGAGGGCAGGGCACTATTTAAAAACCTGGTCTTGCGACTTACTGCCAGTCAACTTGTTGAATCGGGGCTGCGCCAACTCCTGTTGAACCATCGTGCACACAACCTCCATTTGGTTTTCCGGGAGGCCATGACCATTTCCTAGAAAGCAAAACGGTCTTTTGACTCAGGTTGGGCCAACCCCTTGCTCAAACATGTCTAAGGTACTGTTCAAGCAACCTCCTTTCGGTTTGGGTCACACTGGTTCAATGTTCCACTGGCCAAGTAGCAGGCAGCTCGAGCCAGCTGAACTCGCGATCAGGTTCCCGGTGGGACCTCCCATGCAAACTAACATGAAACCAAAAAGGGGGGTTCCCCCAAACAGGAGATTCGCTTCAGGATGGCTCGTGTGGCTCCATAATCGGCGAGGGAGTATGTGAAGGAGTATGTGGAGGTAAAAACGAAAGCGAGGAGCAAACCTGCATTGGAAGCCTTTGATAGGGCCATACATCACTTGGTCGCTGTTGACCCCTCAAAAAGCGGTTACTTGTCCTGGGCTCTGTTCTAGAAAACGGCTTGGATGCGCTTTTTGTGGATTTCACCCGTTCTTAGCCCCTGTAGCTTCTTTTTTTGTACTCTTTTTTTTACTCTTTTAACCTCCTGCATGGTTGGATCCACGAAAATCGCATCCAAACCGTTTTCTGGCTCTATGGAAAGCCCAAAAGCTTGCAACCAAGTTCAAGCCAGATCCGTTCGCCAAAAGCAATCGAGATCAGGTCAGACTCTTGAAATCTGATTGCCATTCCGGGGAAAAACAAAACAAACGTGGAATGAAGAGGCGGACCTCCAGCGGCCCAGGAAATTACCGACTCTTTTGGTGGGCTTTGAAGGAACACCAACTCGAAGATCTGAGAACATTGACCGGGCTCAAACATCTGCCATCGTTCGCACCCGTCTCTCCTGCCGAAAGCACAAGAGACATAAACCATTTCAAAGAGTCACCCTACCCCATAAGCAGGTACTACCAGGGCTGTGGGAACTGCCCACTTTTGTGATACAACAGCAAGGGCTTCCGAAAGACGAACCCCCATTTGCAAAGGGGGAGATTCCCAAAAGTATCACAGAAGTGGGAAGAACCCCCCTTGTGATCAACCACAAGCCTGGGCAACCCCGAGTTGATTGAATTTTTTGGAGCCCGGGGGTTGGGGCAGTCGAGCGCCTTCTTGAGGGCAAATGAGTCGCAATCAAAACCGATCGGTACAAACATGGTGCACCCAGAACCTGTAAAGAACTAAGCAGGCGGATATCCGCAGCTATTTCCGGCTGGGTCTTTCCCTTACTAAGCTTCATCTACCCAGGTTTTGATTGTGGGTCAAACGGGCTTAACCCCCAACCACCGGACTCAAGCTGACATAAGCCATCTGCACGAGGCAAAGCCTGTGTCGCCAATGGAGCCCACACTGGCCCTCTCTACCTTTCTAGCCGAAGACCTCGTGGGCAAAGCATGGCGGCTAAAGTGAGACCGGAGGAAACCAAAGAAATGTAAACTTGTGGTTTGATCATCTTGAGCCTCGAGGCAACCTTGGAGAAACAAGTTGTGTATCACTTACTTGATGACTTACAGCCACCTGAGAAAGCCGAGCATTTGGCATTGGCATTGTTGCGTACTCCAATTCACGCGGAACTCCCAAAACACACGGCCATGGGTCAAAATCCCGTACCCCTGGTGAACATCCCAAGCCCAACTAAAATAGATTAAAATGGATGGTACACCTACCCCAAAATGGTACCATTGGTTTGACCCACAGCCACATCACTTTTCTTTGGAGGAATCTCAACTTCCCGAGTCAGATCGATCCCCCAAACCTGCACTGACAACGGCTCCATATTTCGGAGGTCAGCTTGGGCTCCACACTTGGCCGAGTGACTCGGCTCAACGGCATCGGCTCAACCCGCAACTCGACTGGGACTGCCTTTTTTTTTCCGCAGCCCGAAAAGGAGCGGGTGATTTGCGTCAGATCTTACAGTGAGTCATTGATCCCTGGTAGGTTCTAAGCTGTTGCAGGGATGTGTCCATCTCTCCAAACTCTGAAAGTCTGGAAGTGAAAGGCTATGGCTTGTAGTTCTTTGGCTCTTGCACAGCCGTGGTTTTTCTGAAACGGCATCTTACCTGCATGCAGGCAAAGTCTCAACACGGTGGCAAAGTCTCTCGCATGTTAAATAGCTTGTGACCAAATGACTCTATAATACGGTGGCCAAAGAACTCAAGTTGGGCACCGCAATGTTACAATGCACAACTCATATCGAACAGGATTAATCAACCTGGTGGATTTCTGGGTGTGCCCAAAAAAAAGGATCCTCTCGGAAATGGGACGTCCTGTACTCTGGTTTCTGAATCCTGGGCTCCAATTTGCTGTGTCCATAGGCAATTCGCAGAACCAGAGAGTTCCTTACAGTTGGGCTCGCATGACTTTGTTCGCTGCCGAGTTGTGCCCTTCCTCGAGCCATGCGTTCAGGCGGTCAGAAACGAGCAGTCAAAAGGCGTAGCAATCGGCCGGAGATACGCCCCCGCAAATTCACATACCCAGAAAGGAACTCGCCAAAAGGGGCTGCCGCTACAAACGATGTATGTTTAGGAGGAGCTTCGCCCGAGCCCCGCCATGAATTGCAAGCAAATGGTGGGGATTGCGGCGCTTCCCCCCCGCTTGCAACTTTTGCAAGGCGCAAAACCTTAGCGACAAGGCCAAGGGTTGCCCGCCAAAAGAGTGCGGGAATATCGCTGGATGTGTTATCTGGTCCCTAGCTTCCTGGAGTCGCCTCGCATCCGCGCAGCCCAAACGATGCATTACCAACTGACAGCTACGATTGGTTTGTCCTCAAATGAAATGCCAATGCTTCACTTGAGGAAGGGGTTCTGAGAGAGCTGAAACTCCCTCTACCGTCTGTGGCACAGGCCTTCCCATGACCTTCATGCAACCTGCAGTGGAACCCTCCTACTAAAATAGCCAATGTGGCAGCTCACTTGGTTTGCCCCTGCAACAAAACTTGCTGAGAAAGAGATCTGACACCAGCTGTTTCGCTGAGGCAGCTATGTTTCTCTGGTTGGGCAAATGTATGTCAAAATCAACAAGCGCATGGCTATGCCATTTCCAGTCAAAGCCTGCTATCCGATCAATCAATGGCCAGGGGGAAACAAGGACGCCATTTGCCGGTTGTTAATTTTCGAGGAAAAAAACAACTTTCAAGGAAGGAACAAATGGCACCATCGGAGGTCTGTGTCCATCAAATCAAGCTAAGGACGATTCGCTGTTTCAAAGCGGTGGTGCAAAAAGCCGAAACGCAAACAATTCAATGCACAGACCCCATAGAAAACTGTCAGGGGGGAATATAATCGCTCATTTCACTTCATCAGTTGGTTGAAGACATGGAATGATGGGAGGAAGTAGATACACATCCAATAGAGCACCTCCTGACTTCAGAGTGGCTCCGGCAACTCGCCACACCTACCTGGTTCTTGGATAGGCCGGCTGATAAACGCTAACTGGGGTCCTCAGGAATGTCCCGCGCTGGACTACCTTACCAGTGTGGGAACAATCAGTTTCTGTGATACCAAGATGGGAGTCTTTAACAACTTTGCCAACTTAAGGCAGATTCCTGTGGTATCACCCCACTTGCCCAAAGAGGGAAATCAAAGGTTAACCTTTTGCAACCTTAAAATAGACCCGAATCACTTGGACAAGTGAGTCACAGAACATGAACCCAAAACCCTATGTGTGCTTGTCACAAAATGGGGGAACCTCCAAAATGCATGGTGTTCATTTTGATTCCCTTTAAGCCAGCCCAAAATAAGTTGTGGAATGCGTTTCCCTCCACCCAAGCCAAGATGCAGGCGCGCAGTCCAGTTTGACACCGATTCTTTGTGACCAGCGATAAACCGATTGCCATTAGCAAGGTCTGCTCCCAAACCCAGGGAAAAACGCATGGTCACGTTGACCCCGGATTACTATACCCGTCCCATTTCTTAGGGGGGTGTTCCCTCAAGAAATGAATCCACCAAAAGGGGGCACCCCTATGAATCAACCCAGTTTTTGTTTGTTTCATCTGGGGTCAACATCACTGCGGTTTCGTTTTGAAGTCGGAAGCAACCCGCCACTGGCCATATAACTCCGCCGAGGCCCGCGGACCGGCGACTAGATGAAAGCGACGCGTTACCCTTGACTGGAGCCTGCAGCAAGATGTAGATCTGCGTGCCAAACAAGTTATGTGCCAAGGTCTCCTTTTGGGAAAATAGATGGCACTGGTAAATGATCATAAGCCAAACTGAAACCAGTGCCATCTGGACAGCTGTATATACATGAGGCAGCCTGCAAATCGCAAGCTTCTCAGACTCCAGCGAGGGGGCTCGCCAGTTACACGTTCAGCTAAGACCAGCAACCGCTTGCAGCGGGCATAAGAATTGAGCCTCAGATGACGAGTTTGTCGGAACACGTCTATGGGTAACAGACGGTACAGCCAGTTGTCAGGGCACCTACTGGCTGGTGCATGGAAAACCTCATGTTTGATCGTTTGCTCACTGTTTTGCCCATCATGGTGGCTAGTTGCCCTGAGAAAACATCACACGGAGCCTTAAGGATGGCCCTTCATGACCGCAGCCATCAAGTAGAGAAGGGATCGAACACCATGCTCAATCCATGGAATATGTTAGGCGAATTACAAGATTTCAAATCACTAACCTGAAATCAAGAGCCCAAGGCTGACAGGAACCTTCCTCAACTTGCCCGTAGTTGGTGGGCGTTAGGGGGAACATTCTCCATTGGCTTCAAACGGTACTGGGGTTCAAACACCAACTGCCACTCCAAACCACCAATTACGGGGTACCTGCTCGTGATCTGCTCGTGAGGTCGCTCGCAAATTTGCACTCTCAACCCAACGTTAGGCTGTGTCCCAATCAAACGCGGCACCCCTTCAAAGTACTTCTCGCTTGCCCCTTTTGGACCTGGAGATAGATTGACTGAGCTTACCCGAAGACCAAAACTGGAGCAACCTGGGGGGTCAAACTGGTCAAGAACTCAGAGAGATCCGGAAAACAAGATATGTTTTTTTTTGTTTTTTTAAAGAGAGTATCATCTGCTCAAGAACTGGCGGATCCCAGGCGTAAAAACCAGGCCACCGCAAAAAAAAACAATGACCTCTCGCAAAGTGCAAGTGTGGGATGCCAGCAGCTTACATGCTGAGGCAGGAGCGCTGTTTTCTCGACTGTTCCACCAGGCGTCAAGTTCACCGGTCCAAAGGGCTATTTCCGCGAGCCCCCAGACCTCCGGTGGCCAGGTCTAATGAAAGAACGCATTTGGTTGGTTCAGTTTGAAGGGACACCCACCCAAAACAACAAGGCGAAGAGAAGTCAACCTCTCTGAAGGTCCGGGACTATCAGTGAGCCAAGCATCCATCAGCTGTGACAAGTCTCGTAGGAGGACCTTGTGCACAGCAAACGCATCAGCACGTGTCCAGTGGGCGTTTCTATTCTTCTCTACAGGGGTCACTGGATTTTGTCTTGATTACATTTCTACTCTTCGTACGGTAGCAAAAACCTTTGTTTTTTGCAGACCCCCAGTAAAAATGAACAGAACCAAAAAACTAAAACACCAAAAAACATGCCAAGAACAGTGAACATTAGTTGCGCCTGACTGGTGGTGTCCCTTGAAAGTGCCACTTTCGGAGGCTCCAAAAAGAGGCATGGAGGAAACCCCTGGCTGTACTCTAGCTGTGCTTTCGCATTCTTTCCAGGGATGAACTTGTCAGAAAATGGCCAAGGACCACCCAAGGACCACCAAGTTCGAAAAAGGCAACAATGGACAAAATACAAGACCACCCTTTGGAATGATCGTCACAAGCATCCCCCGTCACCGAAAATGCTTTGCAACATTGGAGGCCACTCGTTTGCACTGCTCAGTTGAATAAACCTCTGCAGGTTCCAGTTTCGGGTCACAAACTGATCAATTGCACGGTACCCAGACACTTGCCCAAATGACTCGCAATCAAAACCTGGTAAAGTGGTCTACCCAAACGCAAGTGAAGAATTCAAGCGGCCGCGCCTGTGGCTGGGTTGCCCTTACTATTCCTCACTTTCCTGGGTGCTCATTGTGGTCACATATTATATGTGTCCCTGAAGTCGCCCCACAAAAAATAATAATATGGAAAACAAGCCCAGGCGGTCCCCGACAAATCAGCCGTTTTGAGGGGGGGTGGGGAAGTTTGCCCTGTGATGTCCCTTTCCAAACAACTCCAATCAGGGTATCCTCAGCCCAACCTAGTCGACTGCTGAGTTTCTCAGAATGCGTTCCGGGTTCCGACAAACATCTACTCAGGAATATACGGACCTCCCCCCAAGAAATGGTGGCTTTCCTTTTGGTGCCGCGTTTAAACGACCTTTCAAAAGAGGGTACGCAGTACTATGCGCCTGAAGTGGAAAAGGTCCTGTGAAATCCCAAAACGTGCGGGTCATGGTTGCCTTCCCCTCAGATTTCTGTGGCAACGAGACGCCCAGGGTCCATGACCATTCATAACCGCGCTACACGCGGCGTTTTCTGTAGGCTTCAGATTCATCCCAATTAAATTCAAAGGCCGTCCTCCGGATCGGATGCCATTTCCGGCCAAATCCGACCAATCGCGCCTTCTGCAGCAGCACCGCCGCACCGGGCTCCTCCTCTTCCATACGCGCCAAGGCTTTCCGCGGCAGGCGGAACACCACGCAGTCCGTCTCAGGCGCGGATTTCGTTCCGCGAGCGGATTTGTTTGTTGTTTTGAACTTAAACAATATTTCTGACGCATGGAAGTTGACCGCCCAAATGCCGCTTGCGATCCGATGTTTTGTGGCAAACATTCAACTGAAAGACTTGCTCATTTACTCCCCAAAACCAGCCTGGTCTCTCGTTTTGAAGCTCGGTACATTTTCTAAATTGTGTGTGATTTGTGAGTGCGATGGAAATCCATCGTAGAGCACGCCACGATTTGGAAAAGACCCGACTTGGTAGTTCGACGCATTTCAGCATGGGCCCAAAAGCGTGAAATACCAAAAGAGTCAGATTAGGAGGAACCCTTTTGTCGAACAAGACCATTGATCAGCTTCCCCCGCTGCTTGGTGGTTTGGAACCCGGTTGTTCCACGGTGGCTTCCCAGTTGCCCTCTAGAAGAACTGTGGTTTCAAATGCCAAGCCACTATACTTTACTTCGGACAACCCCCCCCTCAGACATTTACTTAAAATATTTACCTGCACAGGCTCGGTAGACGAACGCCTGTTCCTGCGCTCATGACGCTGCCTGCTTGCTTGACTTCAAGAATCGTCCACAGGCTCGCCGCGAGTTGCTGGGGACCAAGGCCTGCTTGCTTCTGCGCTTCTCGTCTCTTGCGGACTGTCACGGTCGGCAGGACAAACGAGCGGGGAGCCTCAGGCTTCGGGCTGTCACGGCTGTCCCGGCAGCAGGGGCTGCCATGGCAGTCCTTGTTCAGCTGGGCTGTCGCGGCTGGCCACTGGCGGGATCCCTAGACTTCGGGCTGTCGCAGCGGGCCACTGGCAGGAGCCTTAGCCACCACCGGACTGCAAAGAGCCAGCTTGCACGAGAGGCAAGCCTCAGACATGCCCACCATAGAAAGGAAGATCACACCTTTCCCCTGTCCTCAGATCCCCTGCTAGAAGGGACTAAAATAAGCCTAAGTTGAACCGGACGCTTCGCTGAGCACCTCCGTCTCTTCAAGCCCCCGCCCAAAACAAAACAAATACAACATAAAATAAAACATGTTAAAAGCAACAATAATGAACAAATAAACCATAAAACAAAACTAAGGTGGGCCTCGTCGTCTCTTTAAACCTTTACCCCCCTCCCCTCAAGGAAAAAGACAAAAAGAAAAAAACGCGCTTCTCGGCGGGCCTTTGCCACGGCGTCGGCCCCGCACTTCCGGCGGGCGTAGAAGGCCGCGTCGTTGAGGATGGCGCCCACGCCGTGCTCTTCGAAGCTGGCGGGATCCCAAGGGTTGATTTCAGGGCGGTTGAAATGGAATCCACTGTGATACAACGACAAGGGCCTCCCGAAAACCAGCCATAGACACTCACTTGCTGAGTGGATGGCCCTGAAAAAGTCCAAACTTTGTATTTACCACTAAAATGGTCTTCCCAAAAAGCTTAAAGTTCATGAACTCAGGAAGTGAGGAAAGGGGGAGATTCCCAACAGTATCACAGAAGGGGAGAAAATTCGAGTGATCAACCACAACCCTGGGGTTGATCGACATGCCATTCGGAATTCGGGGCCCCGGGCATCCCAGGCGATCCCAGGGCTCCCAAATGACCATAGCCGACTTTCTACGGGATGATATCATGTTTTAGTGGTTTGTTCCTTGAAAGGTCAATGGGGAGGTACCAAACCAAACCCCAAACCACCAAACCCCCAACCAAACCCAACCAAACCCAACCAAGCCCGACCAAGCCCAACCAAGCCAAACCACCAATTAGGGGTTACCTGGTCCCATGCCAGACCATGGATTGATTCATATTCCATTTCGGGCACCCCAATGACCATAGGTAACTTCTCCCAAAATGTGGGAATTATCCTATCTTCTTGGTGGTGTCCCAACCAATGGTCATCCTATGTAGAGGACATTTTGATCAACCCACAAATGTCAGCTTCCCTCTACTCCGGCTGGTACGATAGGTAGGGGATGACCATTCCGGGTGTTGGGAATGAACCGGTTTTGGGGAGTCCCATAAAGGAAGCCATAGGATGGATCTGGGATGGATGGTTTATAGGGGTCCTTCCAACTGATTCCCAGCTCAGAATCTGCAAGTGATTGGTGGTTTGCAGCGTGGTTTAGATTTTCCAGGGGTGGTTTCCCATTTACCCGTTTACAAGAACCAGAATTCAAATCCCCCGTAGGGACAAGGGAAACCCCTGATTTTCCTACGCTAATTGACCGCGGCGTGGGCCAAACGTTGCCAAATGGGGGGGGGGGACAACCGCGTGTTGTTTTTGGCTGAGAATACCACCTATTTTGAGACGTACCCGACATTGCTGGTGCACCCACCCCATGTCCAAAAGGACTGTTGTCTTCAACAAGGGCCATGTTTGGTGCGAGGGCTACTAGTTGAAGACGCCAATGTCCCAACATCGGGATTTCCTTGAAACCAAGACCGGCATATTAGTTCGACCGGATAATCCCCTCTTCGTGGAAATGTTAGGCCCATCCTTCTCCTCCCTGCTCCAACTGTCCACCAGTAACATTGTCAGTTGACTTCAAATGTGTCCAACTATAGTGGACTTGTGGGGGAAAAAGGGGAACAATCATTTTGTTGGCTTGATCTTGGACAGAAAACAAGGAAAAACCAAGCCAGTGGAGACCTCAGAAGGGAACCGGGGGCGGATAGGTTCTACCTGGACACGCCACCGGCTAATGTCCCCAACTGCCGCCCCGCTTTCTGCAAGTGGGAAAACCGACCATTGGCCCGTGGCCTGCAAGACAGCAATATGCATCTTTGCTTTTCTCCAGTAAATCGATATGACAACCCGACAACTGTGCCAGATTTACGGGGTAACCATTTCAGGGACTTCTCAGAACAAACATCCGCATCGGTGTCCTTTTGGAAAATAGATGGTGGAAAATAGATGGATCTGGTAAATGCCATAGAACCAAACTAAACCAGAGGAACCCATCAGTTGTTGAGCCCACTCACCCATGAACAGGACAAACCGAACCGGTCATCCGACCATAGGAAAGCGCTCCGGGAACAGAACGCTCGCCAAAGCCACTCGCGGCCGTCTGCTTGCACTTCCTCCACGAAGGGAAAGTCGAGCTCAAGCCTTGATCGGCCCAGAGATGTTTGTTGCTTCAAAGGGATATGGGTGGTCTCTTTCTTGCGTAGGGGACCCCCCCAAAAAAGCTTCGGCAGTCCTTTTGGTGTTCCTTTCACACCCCAAAGCCAAGGTAGCCTATACATATATATATATATCAAATAACAAGCACCATTATGGGGGTGGCCCTTATGATAACACACCTGGTGAAATGCTATCTGCAAAAAAACACAAGAAAGTCCAACACCTGGATTGAGGGATCACTACATAAAGGACCCATTTGGCGCTTGTTTTACTCACCGTACAATGCAGACAGCATGACTTGATGCCCAAATGATCGAATGGACAAACGGCCAAACGCAAAGCAAAAACAACACAGGACGAAGCAAGCGTCACCTGCCAATCATGACTTACAGTTATGATTTCCAGGGTTCCTTCTCTCAAGCCGCCAGTGTTGAAACGAGGCAATGGGAGATCAATCCCCACACTAATCCTGTGCAACCTTGGCCCCCCGCTCCCCCCCCCTCCACCCCGCACCCCCCCTCCCCCCCTCCTCCCCCCCCCTCCCCCTCCCCCTCCCCCTCCCCCCTCCCCCCTCCCCCCCCACCCCCCCGGGCACCCGGGCTGCGGCGTCTCTTGGCGGCAAATGGCGGAGCTCGGGGGCGACGGCAGCATCTCCAAGTTCCCCAACTCAGCGATCGATCCACTTCGAGGCATTCAAGGGGTTTCCCCCGGCGTGTCTAGGTCCTCCAGAGTTGAGAGGTTAGAATAGGGGTACCCGATGTTTTTGCTGTTGTTTTCTTCTGTAGTCTATTTTAGGAGGGGAACCCTCCCAACCAAAAAAGGGGAGAGAAGGGCACTACTGGGGGACCTTGGCGTGAATCCTTCTACTTTTGGAGTTGGCACAGTTGCTATTTCTTGTGATGGCTTTTTTCTCAGGCGAACCAGAAGCAAAACCGAAATCTGGATGTTGTCTCGGCTTCCATGGAAACGTGTGGGTGTTTCTCAGAACGGACCTTTGGATGGTATGAAAACGGCAACCGAAAGGGAACCAGCCCTGTTTAGGGGCCAGTTTGAGAACTGCCCATATGTCAAAAATCGGTACCCGAGATGGGTTGCTCAGAGAAATGGAAAGAAGGACTCTTCCCAGCGGTCCCCAGGTGGCTTAATTTGGACCCATGCCCATACCAGTAGAGCCGGTGGGCGGAAGATTCAAAAATATAAAACTATAATTCTCTTTCTTTTCTTGATTATTGTTCTCTTCTTCTCATGTTTTATTGTTTCTCTTGAATCTTCGCCATTCATTCTTTCTGTCTTTCCTTCCTTCCCCACTCCTTTCTTTCTTTCCTTGTTATTATGCCGTTCTTTCTTTTGTCTCTTCTCTAACTATCTATCTATCTATCTGTCTGTCTATCTATCTATTTATCTATCTATCTATCTATCTCTCTATCTATTTGTCTATCTGTTTCTGCATTTTCTCTATCTATCTAATCTCTCTATCAAACCTATCTATCTATCTATCTAGGCCTATCTCTCTCTCTCTTTCTCTATCTAGCTATCTTTTTACATATCTACCTATCTGTCTATACCCTTCTTTGTCTTTTCATCTGTTTATCTATCTATAGATCTCTTTATCTATCTATAAGTTTGTTTTTTATCTGTCGATCTATCTGTTTCTCTATCTATCTCTCTATCTATTTATCTATCTATCTATCTATCTGTCTGTCTATCTATCTATCTATCTATCTATCTGTGTATCTATTTTTGCACTATCTATCTACCTATCTATCTATTTATCTATTTTCACTATCTTTTTATCTGTCTATCTATTTTTTAACTATGTACCTATCTACCTGTCTATCTATCTATCTAACTATTTATCTACCTGTCTCTTGTTTTATCTATCTATCTATCTTTCTTTCTATCTATCTCTCGTTTTATCTATCTATGTATCTATCTATCTATCTATCTATCTATCTACCTCTCTAGCTATCTAACTCTTTATCTATATCTTTCTCTATCTCTTTATCTATCTATCTATCCATCGATCTATCTATCTATCCCTCTTTTTACCTATCTAGCTCTTATCTATCTATCCCTATATGTATCTATATATTTGTCCATCTCTTTTATCTATCTATCTATCTATCTATCTACCTATATATCTATCTCTCTATCAATCTAACCCTTTATCTATCTATCTCTTTCCCCATCTCTTTATCTATCTATCTGTCCATCTATCTATCTATCCCCCTTTTTACCTATCTATCTCTTATCTATCTATCCCGATATGTATCTATATCTTTGTCCATCTCCTTTATCTATATATCTATCTATCTGTCTATCTATCTATCTCTCGTTTCTATCTATCTATCAATCTACCTATATATCTATCTCTCTATCAATCTAACCCTTTATCGATCTATGTCTTTATCTATTTCTTTATCTATCCATTTATCAATCCATTTATCTCTCTATCTATCTATCTATCTGTCCCTCTTTTTACCTATCTATCTCTCTTTCTATCCAGCTATCTATCTCTTCTATGCCACGAAATCTGTACTTGACCTTGCGAAAGTGCTGCCCCTGCCACGAAATCTGTAATTGACCTTGCGAAAGTGCTGCCCCTGTCACGAAATCTGTACTTGACCTTGCGAAAGTGCTGCCCCTGCCACGAACTCTGCACTTGACCTTGCGAAAGTGCCGCGCCTGCCACAAAAACTGAACTTGACCTTGTGAAAGTGCTGCGCCTGCCACACAATTGGATCCTTGAGAAAACTTGGCCTTGCGAAAGTGCTGCGCCTGCCACGAAATCTGTACCTGACTTTGCAAAAGTACTGCGCCTGCCACGGAATTCAAAACCTGCGAAACCTTCGCGTTGCCGTGCCAATAAGCGCACGCTCCGAGAGTGGTCCGAACGTGGTCCGAGACTGGTCCGACCAGGCGCCGCGAACAGGCTAGCTTTCAGCTCTCCGGAGACGCCAATTCACGCACAGGGCCATGCTTTTTGCACATTTCTCTGTCTCAGAGAGCTAGCTTTCAATTAGTTGCCGTAACACGGAAGTTCCTTCTAAACTTCAGAAGAATGGTACATTGTCTCGAGTGTGGGATACTGCTAACAAAAACCATGGGCTCCACTCGTTCCAAATGCCTTAAACCACCAAACTGTTTGAAGCTCCTTGTGGTGTCTAGTTTTGGACTCCCCAAAATGGATTTCGGTTTTGCTTCTGAAAACCATCCAACAAGGGATAGCAACTGTACCAACTCCAAAAGTAGAAGGAACCACACGCTTTGGGTTTCCCTTGAAAGGACTGCATCTGGTTGTAGCACATTTTGCCCAATGCTCGATCCAGGGGTGTCCTGGAACAAGAATGAAATAGTGAGGACTGAGACCGAGACCGAAAGGTCCACCACTAAAACCATTGAAAATCAATGACAAACCATTATAACTGAACATCGTTAAAACAAAGGCCCACCACCTGTCCAAGAGTATAGCCCAGCTCTTCGTGAACCTTTCGGCTGCCTCTATGGTCTGCTAGAAATAGCAATAGCAATACTTATAACAGTAATACTAAAATACCTAATAATAATAATGAGTGAAAATAACAATAATAATATTCCTACCTGGACCAACCACGTATGCAGAAAAAACGCCTTCGAGAGGAAATGCACAAAAAATGGAATTGTTCTTCAAAAGCGCCTTTGTGTTCAAAAAAAGCTTTCGCAGCGCAATGCCACGCTGACGCATTGCCTGGTCTGTCTGCCTTCTCGAAGCCTGTACGTGAGAACCTTTGATTTGGATCTGCTCATTTGGATATCCATTTCTTCGACATTGGCCGTTGCTGCATGCAGGTTGTTTTCCACCAGAGAGCCGTCTGAATCCCCTCATGGCCAGCACTGTCAGTTCGAGGGGCCGATTTGGAACGAGAAATATGGCGCGAATGTCAGCCAAAACCAGTTCTGCAGCTTGCTGTTGTTTGTTCCGGCAATTTCCGCCTTTGTTCCGGCAATTTTCGCCTTTATTTTGGCAGTGGCTGCTTTTTTTTCATGTGCAATTTCACGAGCCACTGGCCAATTGCGTTTCTGGAATAAAGAGTGCTGCTGATGCGCTGAATCCGCACGCGATTCGTTGAGGAAAGTTATATTTTCCAAAAAGCTGCTAAAGCAAATGCTCTGCCCATCTTTGTAGACGGAAGCATGCGCGCAATCCAACATGTCAAGCACGGAAGCACGAGCCCCGGCGAGGGCTGAGCCCAGATTGGGGTAAGGCCCCCCATATTTCAGAAAAACGCCCTCGATCTAAAAAAAAGCGTCCAGTCCAAATTTAAAGACATTGCTAAAAAGGCAACAAAACTGCACACTTAAGACACTGCAGGTAATGCTAATACTAATGCGAAAAATAATACAACCACTAATATTAATCGTAATAATAATCCTAGTACTCGTAGCAATAGCAAAATGGAGGGAGCCCCGCGCCACTCTCGCGCGCGGCTCGCGGCTCGCGCGCGGCTCGCGCTTGCGCACCGGGGCCTCGGGCGAAGGTGGTGCTGTAGGCCGCGCCCACCACGCCCTGGGCCACCACGAAGATGGCGTCCGCCGGGTCCTCCGAGCGGAACAGCAGCCTGGGAGCCGCGAGCCGACGAGCCGACGAGCGGAGGCGCCGGGGATTTTTCGGGGGCTTGGATCACTACGTTTTTGGGGCGACGAAAAACCAAACCCAACGAAACCAAACCCAACCCGACCAAAACAAACCACCAATCATAGGGGTTACCTGAGGTTTTTGTGTTGCAGGTCCCGTGTCAGGCCATGGGCTGATCAAGATTCCATTTAGGGCCTCCTAGTGACCATGGGTAGCTCTTCCCATGTGGTAAATATCGTATATGTTTTAGTGGTTTTCCAACCAATGGTCATTCCAAGTAAAGGACCTTGTGGTCAACCCCCCCGTTAGGTTTTCTTCGTCACCCTGAAAAAAGATGACTAACATATGTCCAGTGATAGATTCCCTTTAAAGCCAGGGGAAAATAAATCTCATTTCCAAGCCAAATGGAAGTGAGACGGATTGTCCAGTTTCGGACCGAGTGCCAGTTTTGGCCACGGATCCCTTCGTATTGAGGGGGTTGGGGGGGTTGTTTTCCTCCCCCACTAAACCAGAACCACCTCCCGATCAAAATCTCCCAGCACCAGGAATCGGCGCCTCTTTTGGGATGGTAAGGCTTGGGGAGCGAGGAGGAAACCAAGCACCTGGGGCCCTAAATTCCAAAAAGAAACGGCAACATGCTTTAACAAATATATCATTGAAAAACATTGTTTATTAAACATAATATAGATTGAGACTTAGAATTATAAACATTTTACTATAGAATAACAAATTAACTTTTTAGACTTTTTTTAACTAAAAAAACATATTTTTGGGGGGTTTAGGTGTTGTCCTGTCAACCCCCTGCAACTCTTTGAAGGCTGGGCGAGGCTTTGGTGAGTCTGACGGAAGTTGCACCAGCGCGGCTGGTCTTCGACTCCGCGGGCCCGTTCCCCAGCCCATTCAATGTATGGGTGTCTCGTTTTTGAGTGGACCCCCCCAAAATAAATTTAAATAATACCAAAAATAACAAATCATAGTAATAATAATAATAATGGTGGTTTGCCTTTCGGTTTCCTTTTCAACCCACCCCCAGAAGGGTCTCTTCGGAAAAAAAGGAGAAGGAGAGGTATGGCCAGGATGCCAGGCGTTCTGAGACTAACTGGGCTGGTTCCAGAGTCTGGGTATCCAGTTGGTCACGATGCCAAGCATTTTTGCTGACGACTCGGCGGACTTCCCGTGTGAAGATGTTTGGATCGCCAACGCATAGCTGGCAGCTGACAACATGCGGTAGCTTTTATTGTCAGTTGAGACGGTTCCGATTCTGTTGTTGAGACAAACCCGACAGGCGGGCCGCTCAGGGTTGGTTGCCAACCTATTGAAACGTCACACCTGTTGTTCAAACAACCAGCTGTTGGTTCCCTTCTCAACCTAAAACGGGTCTGGCTGTATGAATAAAGTAATTCCATTAATTTCGGGGGTATGCGCCAAAGGGTCCAGGACCGGTTACGGCCTCCCCAGCAAAGGGGGATACACCCACTTCGTGGCCCACCTCCATACCCAGAAACTCATAATCTTCAGCTTCTGCCTCACACTTTACTCTACCCAAACATTCCTTTAATCTTCAGCTTCTCTTCCTTTTCTTAGTCCACCACAGAAAAATCTGAACCCCTTTTGGATTCGCCCGCAAAGCCTGCCTCACCGATTTTGCTACGAGCTAAGCTCGCTGCTGGGACTGCTTCAGCTGGATGCGCTCGAAGTGCTTTGCGGCGGTGGCGGCGGCCTCGCGTGCCTCACATCGCTGGCCGAGTCGGCCGCTTCGGCGCTGGGGGAACGACCCTAGCGTTGCCAGGGAACCCAGAGACTGCGCGTGTCATGTACAGACGAAAAAGCCCGTAGCCCGTTCCAAAGGCAGGACACCCCACCGGAAAGTCCCTTGAGCAAAATCCTCCAATCCAGGACCCCTAAAAGTCAAGTTCCAGTGCATAAACAAAGTAGAATGGGGTTTTGAGGGGTACTCTGAAAAATATCAAGTCATGACTACAGGGAAACTTGAATAGAAATTATTTAGCACCTTAGATTGCCTGGACAAGTTCCTAATTCCGGGGGTCCAATAAATGACCTTCATCATGCGCTCGTTTTACCCTCCAATGAGCTCATATGAGCGCACGAAGGACTTCTGTTTACAGCCTCCTTGCTAATTTGGCTGAAAAGGGAGGACAGCTATGGTTGATTGAACACGTTTTCCCAAGCCTGCACTTTGCTGGAAACGATCTGGTCGCCTGTGTGAAATCTGCATAAGTTGTTCAATCTTTCCACGTGTTCTCCGATTCACGCAAAACAGAGACTTGATGGCGCTATGCCGGGGTGATGCCGATCCGATGATCCGGCCTTTGCCCCATCAGGGATGAAGCCTTCCACGTACTCCAGGAGCAAATCCTAAGACGCATCCTCCCCCCTTTTGCAGAAGCCGCCCCCATGTGAGTCATAATCAAAACCCGCTATGTAAATGGTCTACCCAGAACCAAGTAAAGAATCAAGAAGGCGGCCGCAGCTATTTCTGGTTGGGATTGTCCCTTACCTTCATCTACCGGGTTTTGATTGTCCCTCATGTGAATCTTCCCACACATCAATTCATGGAGGATGTGTCCATCCGCGGATCCTTTGGGCAAAATTTGAAGATGGATCATGCAGCGAAGATCAGCAGGACTTGGCGAATGGTTTTACGTGCAGCAAGCCAAAACGTCTTAAAAGGTCCGGGTTATTTGAATCATCTGGCAACCCACAGGTCCTTTTGAAAGCAATCCGGCATGCACCGCAAATTGGCAAAGCAGGCGGCAGCCGAAGACCGCGCAGTCTCGACGGACTGCCGACCCTAGGCAAAAACAGCGCACCCATTTTGCGGGTCGATTCCAAGTGAAGCCACCAACTGCTGAGCAACAGGCACATGGTTTGGTTCGGGCCAAACTTCAAGAGAGCAGTGATCCGAAAGGGGCCGAAGATGCACTTCCATCTTGTAAGGACGGGCACCTCAAAGAGTTGAGTGACCATACACGCAGTCAAATGCATGCTGTTCGGTAAGCCAGAAAACCATGAGCTTGCTGTCTGTTCAGTTGGTGTCACGAATGTAGCTGAAGTATGTTCAGAATTCCAAAACCCACACACTCCACTAGACGAAGCTAGGCTACTTCATTGAACCATGCTACACGCCTCGTTCTCGGTCGTCAAACAAAGCCACGCATGTTGTGTGCCCAGTGCATGCGTATCCTGACGTGGCCATAGCATGACACAAAAACACGCACAGAAATGGGAACAGGTGTAGTCGCCCTGAAAATAAATGCAAATCCTACTTGGGGTTGCTCCGAACCTTTTCAGGAAGAACCGCCATGCCAAACCCTGTCTCCCGGCTCCTGCAAAGGCCATTCACCACCGGAGTGTGGCTTGCGAAGCTTTCCAGCCTCAGAACACGAGACAAAAAAAACACTTGCATCTGCAGCATGCCCATTGACAAAATCAATCTGCAGCATGCGCATCCACTCCAACGGTAGCAAAAAGATGTGGTTCAACATGTGGTACCTTCAAGGCAGCACACTGCAATTAGGACACAATTTGCAGAGGATGCAATGCAACCTACGGCATCCACGGCAAGTCTCCTAAGGACCTGGAAACAAACTGGCTAAGGTTGACCCCGTATTAAAAAAAACGGCTTTATTCATTGTCATAGGGATGTTCTCCTCTAAAGGTGATGAAATCCCCTTTCAAAAGGGAGCACACCCCTATAAATCAACCAAGGGCTTATTGATCCGGGGTTCGCATTATCTTTTGAAACCTGCTCGAAACAAGACTAGACTGGGAAACCCACACGCCCTCTTCTCTCGATTCAAAAATCCAAGGGGGGCACCTGGGTGTCCAAAGTTTTCTGCCCTCCCGCCTCAGCCAAGATCAGATCTTCGCAATGCTGGATTGCCTGCGTCGCGGTCTCCGTCGCGGTCTCCGAAGACCGCGCAAGTGCATCAACGGTCAGTGTCTCACGATCCCTACGATTGACCCAGACCTCCAGTCGAATCTTTGCGGGAATGGCAACCCTACTGTTTGGGGTCGCTATCGGCAAAAAACACTGCAAGAGAAAGGACGGAAGGGCACCACTGGAGGTCTGGGTTGATCTCAGAATGAAAGGCTTACTCGCAATCCTTCAACGCTGATTAGACGAGTTAGTGATGACTCAAGGACCAACTAAAAAGGAACAATGCTTAGCCAGAAGCCACCTGCGACCCTCGTTGCGACCCTCGCTGCCCCGACATCATCTTCACATTTTGGCAAAATCACAGAGTACCCCGCTTCACTGGACAGGTGTCCATCTTGATGTCCCCAACATGTTGCAAAATGACCCATCGGTGTATGCCAAAGACGAGTGGAAAGGAACCATCCGGCGAAAAGAGGCGAAAAGACGTGGTTTCGCCCTGTGCCAACATAAATCGCCCCCCCCCCCCCAGGCTGACCCAACTGATCAAGTGAGGGGTTGATCAATATTGGCCCCGCAATGTCCATGGGTAACACTTTTCGAATTGAGTGGTTGAAACATCATATCTGTTGGTGGTTCTCCAACACATGGTCATCCCTTGATCTAGCTTGGGTGCTGTAGACCCTCCAGCAAAAAGTGTTTTAACTTTCTGCAGGTTCAAAGAACATATGGGGGGGTATCCAAAAAGCTACAGTCTTAAGATCCAACCCAATAGCAAATCGCCTTTGGGAAGCCGCGGTTTCGCGCCTGGTCCAAGGTATTGAAGACCTTGCGGGAACTTCCTGCGCTGCATGACCCCTAGGGGCGGCTTCGGGGGAGGGCTATCCCCCAGGATAAGCCCAGGATAAGCCAAGGATAGGCCCTGAATGCTCTTCAGGCCTTAAGGGGCTGTTAAACCTCCCATCCATCGAGGGATCCTAGTAGACCATATTCCTCTAAGGACGCTCGGCTAGCTAAGTAGACGAAAGGGCATCTATTTGTGTGAATTTGTGCGCCGCTGCCAGCGGAACGCCTCGAAACGCCGAAGGCAGCCGGACCAATCAGTGACCTTTTCGGGATTTGCTCGCACTTCCTCCGAAAAGTCCTCACAGGCTCTGACATTGGGAAATGCAGCAGTATCCTGAACCTGGCAGCCATGTCATCTGTCCCATCACAGCAAGAACAAGAACATCTCTGGACGGCAAACAAGAGCCGGATCTACGTCAAGCCCGATACTAGGGTTGTCGGACATCTCCATCTTCCGTGATATTTATAAACACTAATGTTGACCCCAGATGAATAAACCCCTGGTTGATCAACAGAGGGGTGTGCCCTTTTAGTGGGGATTCAGACCACTTTTGGAGGGGTTTTCACCCCCCTAATAATGGGACAGGTTTATTAATCCGGGGTCAACATTGGTCATCATGACTGGGTCACTTGCAAGCAGGTTCCCTCGTCACAGAAGCTGGACAACTGACTCTGATTCAAGATCCACGCTTCGTCTAAAATGCGACCATATCCCAAGCCACCATTTCCACACGGGTCCCTAACCAAAACCCGACCTCCGATCCACCCAACCGCCTTCCTTCCCCCCCCGCCTTCCCACCCCCCCCCCCTGCCCCCGCCTTCCCCCCCCCCCAACCCGTCCGTTGCAAATGCCGTGGGCGTCCAGGAGACGGCGCACCGTCTTGGAGCGCAACGAAGAGAGCAGCACTTTGGCGCCTGCGCAGAAAGGTAAAGACCAAAAGCCGAAAGGATAACCGTGAGGAGCCACGTGGCTGTGGGTCAAAAATATGGTAACCCCAAACTCCGGAATCCTGGTCAATGGAAACATGGACGATTCAACCTGCGGTCCGATTCCTGGCCAGGTGGAAAGTTTTGACCACCCATGTCTTGGCGTACCCATTTGTTCAGTGCCTTCTTGGGAGTCGGTACCCAGGTTTTTGGAGTTGGTAAAGGGAACCCTTCAGATCCCCCGATCCAAACCTGGCAATAGGAAGTTCAGGTCACCCGCCTTGGGTGGTTTGGAGTGGGGGGGAGGTGGAAATTTGGAGCTGAAGCCCTAAGCTTGGGTAGAGGGTTTGCCTGGGAAACCACACCTTAGGTACCAAACCTCCAGGCTCCAAACCACCCAATTAGAGCGATGAACGCTTCACCTGGAACCTGGACTAAAAATGGACGGAACGGGACACGCCGGTGAACAAGTCGATTCGCATTCTCAGCCTTTCAAACGGCTTGGGCCTGGTTGCGGGGGGTTGGCTTCCCAGTTTCCCTCGGAACGAACCACGAGTTCAGATCCCACGCTTCCGACCGCCCCCTTTGAGGGTCACCTAATTCAACGCACGCTTAACAAAAATAGATCAGAGCAAAACAAACACATCATGAACCCCCCCCCAAATCGAGAAACGCACACATCTTGAAACGACCCCCAAAAATGAGAACCCTGAAGAAAGGATACGCCTTAAGATGATTGCTAACAAACAAGAGACAGATGTTGAATCCTCCCAAACAAGGAACCCTGAAAAACACAAATCGTGCGGGGACCAAAAAAAACACAAATCGTGCGGGGACCCAAAAAAAACGGGCACAATCTTGACACCCCAAAACAAGGAGCCGCGTTGAAACGACTCCCCAAATGAGACACCCTGAAACAAAAGGCATATCTTGACACCCCCCCAAAAAGGAACCGAGAAAAAAGGGACGCGTGTTGAACCACCCAAAAACCCAATACCCTAGAGAAGGCCACATCTTGCAACCGCCAGAAAGGGGACCCTGACATGACCCCACCCCCAAAAAAAAAACATGAAACACCCAAATTTGACACATCAGCGACCAGAGAAACAGATTATGAGAGGCCTAAAGAAGGCCACGTCAAGCCCAACGACCCAAAGGGCTGGCAAAGAAGGCTAGAATATCTCAAGGCTTCCATGCGGCTTGAACTAGCCACAAGTAATTACGCAGGTCACAGCTTTGACCACGAAAAAAAAGAAAAAACAACGCAAGACGTACTTCATCATCCAGGGAAGGTTTCCCACAATGGTAGACGTACGATTGATTTGCTACCAACAGGACGCCACCCATTTTGTAGGCCCTATTTTGAGAAACATCAAAACCTCTCCTGCGGTTTTGCGTGTGTCATCTTAGTGTCACTCCCCATAGATTGAACAACCAAACACGCAAAACCGAAAGATGGTTGAGTCCCTGGGTAGGGGTCAGGGGTCCAACAACCCCCGCACAGGCTGGGTTTGGTGCTGGGTCAACAAAAAGCTTGTTTTTGTGATACCACACCCTCCCTTTGCTTAAGTCCCCTGGAAAAAAATGAAAAAAATCCAGTATGATTGGTTCCCTTCAAAACACACAGGGGAAAACAAATATTCATTTCACCCAATGGAACTCGACACGCTTTCACGGAGCAACGCCCTTCCGAAGGCCTTCACGTTCCAGGGACAGCACCAGCAGCCGCGTCTGGTCCGCAAAGGTGCAGTCCATACCGCTCACACGGCCTGCACGAGAAGCGGAGGTGTTTTTTACTCGTTCTTTTTTGGTTGTTCCCCTGTTTGTTTTAAAGGGAATCTATCACTACTGTTTTTTATTTTATTTTATTGCGGTAGACTAGAAAAGTCCACGCCAGTGACGACAGTTGTGCCGTGTTTTTCGGCGGTTTGAAGCCCATTTTTTGTGTTGGTTTCAAGGGACGCCACATGGAAATTACGAATTTCGGACCTCTTTGGAGACACACCCAGTTGGAATTGGTGGTTTGTCCCAGCACCATAGAGTATTGTGTATCCCAACTAGGGCAGGATTTTGTCTACGCACAGTTTCCTTCTTTTTTTTTCCGAGGGGCACCTCTTGTTTGCGAGCGTCCCCTTGCCAGGTGTTTGCTTGGCTGGAATCAGGACCTCAGCAAAAAATATATTTTTTGCCTGGTTAGTGGCAAACAAAGGGGACCCCAAAAAAGCAAAAAAGTAAAAGGGGGAACTAATTCTGGGGAAGTTTGGTGGCAGAGTTCACACACTTGTGCCGTCTTTCTAGGGCTGGTTAATTTAGGCAAACTGTTGCCGCCCCGGGAAAAAAACAAACTTGGAGGTCTGAGCTTTGTTAACCCTTTCCGCGTCCGTCTGTTCCGCAAAATTTGCAACACACAATCACCACCGTATCTTGACCCAGTGACAATCTCATGTCAAGCAAAAAGGCAAGTCTTGCCAACGGGTCTAACAAGAACTGCCAGCCGCTGCACTTCTAGGTCCTCCAGTCGAGAGGTTAGAGTAAGGGTGCCCGATTCATTTTCCTGTAGTCTATTTTAGCAGGGGAGCCCTCCAAACCAAAAAGAAACGGTCAGAAAGGGCACCAATTGCTGGGGGACCTAGACTTGATGGAATAGACTGGGGCTTTTGAAGGGCTCGTTCCGACGCCTCACGCAGGGGAAAAAAACTCTCGAGGCCTATGGCCATCCACTAGATACCAGGTCGCCTATGGTCAAACAGGGATCCGGATGCATTGTACACCTGAACATTGCAACTTGTAAATGGTGGTTTCAACCTTTATTTTGGTGTTGAAAAAGCAACATGTTTCAAATGGTGGCAAAATGTAGCTTTTAAGGAGCCCTGTCAAAGCTGTTGCCTATGGTCAAAGTCGCAACCTTGTTGTTGCCCCCTTATCAAACATGCCACGATATCGGTTTTTCCCAGACCGGGGTCCCAATGCTACTTTCAGAACAGCCCGATTCCACGCCGGCCGGGGGGTAACCCTAAGGCCCCCAACTCCCTCTACCAACCCTAAGGCCCCTTTCTCCCCTTCAAGTTGGCACTACACCCGTACAAAGTTACAACTCCCATTTCAACGGATGGGATGAGTGCATTTGCTTCGGGGAGTGCCCAATTGACCCTGAATTCCCCATTGATACATATCGGTTGGCCCCCAGCGAATGTACTAACAGGGGCGTGCATTACTAGCGGCGTCTTACGACGGAGAGGTCGTTTGGAACCCCGAATCTGCAAAATAAACCCAACCCGATGCAGGGACCTCAGGCCTCCGTTCAACTGTGTGTAGCCATGTATGTGAACGCAGGGATTTCGCAGATCTGAAATGAGGCAAGGTCAAAAGTACTGGTTCACGACAGACAGGGGACAATTGGGGGGCCGTCCCCAAACACCTCAAGTGAACGACCAAAAGTTGCAGTAACCTTTGGTTCTAAGATGGCAAAGGTTTACTCTACAGGCCTCCTTTTGTTTAAGACCATTTGGCCATGGGTCAAAATCCCGTACCCCCAGTGAACATCCCAATCCCCACGAAAATGGTACCATGTGTTTTTGACCACAGCCATTTGTTTAACCAGGTACTCAAATTTTGACCCTTTCGACTCGGTGTTGGGCTCACACCTCTCCCAGGCCATTCACGGATCGTGCCTAGGTCCAGGCACACGAAGCGGGCGCCCTGCTCCTTGGCGCGCTGCTCGATGCCCAAGGCAGCGGTGAAGCTGGTGCCGAAGAAGGCGTAGCTGTTGAGGCCTAGAGCTTCTCAACTCGCCGGTTCTCGGCAAATGAATTTAGTTGACCCCCAGAAACCGTCCGGTTCTTATGGTTTCGTTCTGTTTCGTTGATGAGTTGACCCCCAGAAACCGTCCGGCTTCACTATGTTTCGTTCAAGGGAATCCCCTTCCTGTGCATGCCCAACACCCAGAATGGTCATTCCCTACTGAGCACCAGCAAGATACTTACCTGGGTGTGTCGGAATGTTTAGCGACGCCCCCCCCCCAACAAAAAAAGGAAATTCCTCTTGGAGTTCCTTTAAACCGCAAAACACGGTTCAGTGTGTTGGGAATGAGTCCAGGGGCCTCTCAAAGGAAACCACAAGGGATGGGTTATAGGGGGTCGTTCCTCATTCCCTGAACGCCAGCAAGTGAATATTTGGGTGCGTCGGACTTTTTAGCGGACCCCCCCAACAAAAAAGAGAACCAAACAATAATAAATAAATAAACAAAAATAACACCACAAAATAGCGGTACCCTCAAAACAAGGCACACCCACGTGAGTGACTTGATGGCCATGGAACGTGATGAAACCAGGCGGCTCGGTCTCCACTGAAACCATTTGACGAGCTGCCCATGTGGGTCTGGGTCAAAATTAAACCACCAGGAATCGGACCGCAGGTTGAATCGTCCATGTTTCCATTTACCAGAGTTCCGTTGTTCAATGACCCTGGAAAAAAAGGGAACCCTTTTTTGGGAAGACCATTTTAGTGGGGCAGCCACCAAAAAAATGGGAAAAAGGGGGCCACTGAACAACTGAGTCTTGGGTACCTAGGTTTGACCCACAGCCATGTGGTTTGGCTCATGACCCATGCACTTCATAGTTGGAGGCGGTGGACATCTTGCTCCAACTTTGAACCCTGTGAGCATGGTCTTTCAGGAACCTCCAGGAACCGGTTTGTGGAGAACCCTTTGGGGCTTCCCTCGTTCTCTTGCATCATGTTGCACGGGTTCAAAGACAAACACGGAGACAGAGGCACAGCCAAAGAGGCAGAAGATCACAGAGGAAGAAAGAACACTTCCTGAGCGGATGGGCCCAAAGTCCAAACTTCTTGTTTCAGACAATTCTTCCAGACGCAAACAAGTGACTCACGTCCCAAACGGAACTCACTGAAGTGAGAGATTCCGCCCCGCGCCCCCGATGCGATGCGACTCCTCTGAGCGCCCGGACTCACGGCCTGGGCGAGCCGAAGCCAGCAACCACCCGCTTGAAGTGCAACCCCAAAGCTGACATGGGCGGAACGCGCCGTTTTTTTGGAACCCAACAAAAGCACGGCGGAACGGCTTTCTCCTTTGGTTTCCCTTTCAAACAAATCAAGCAAAAAACTGGGTAGCTCCTGCTTTTTGGACCCCCACGAAAATTGGGGGTGCAACGGCTTTCTCCTGTGGTGTCCCTTAAAAACAAAGAACAAACCAGCACAAAAGGAGGGTCACATTGAAAGGAATGCAAAGGCTCGTCCCCTCGTTTCGTTCCCCGGGACGCACTCCTGAGTTGGGCCTTTGGGAAACTCAAGGGTTCAGTCAGTGAACTGTCCAATGCGTGGATGGAGAATGGCCATCTGGGAAACCCTAAGCCACACCATAGGTGACCCTCTGGAAAAATCCGTGGCCCTGGTAAAAAAAAACGCAGAACCCGTAAAAACCCATCTATTTCGAACCAAACTCATCGATCCAAGGACCAACATTTGGAGGAAAAAAACAAGTTTGACCAAGACCAGTTCAAAGACCCTCTGAGGGAACTTTCACGTGAGGCCCAACCCCCTGGTCCATTTAAACAAGCTCTCCTTGCGGCTGCTGCTGGGAACAAACAAAGGCTGGTTGATTAGACCATGCCTTTGCCCATGCCGGGCAGGAAACATGACGAGCAGTGAGGGCAGGAAACACTTTGCCAAACGGATCTGACCCGGTGACAATTGTTTGGCAATTGGGGAAATGAAGGAACCGCCTTTTGGCTGGCTGAATTGGGTGAGTTGAGTCTGGTGTTCTTGAAATGAGGCCTTGAGACCCAGTCTGCATGAAAACCAGCCTAGAATTGCACGGCGCAGCCTCTCATAAACAAATCGCCACGGACTTGCTCGCCTGAACATGTCAACATGGTGTGGGTTTTGTCCTTTTCGAGGCTACCCCGTTTTAATAGCTTTAAGCTTCAACTCAAACCACCAAGAACACCATGGATTCGGGGGCGGGGGTCCCTGAAAAGGCGACACACCCGTATGGACTGTCTGCAAACCACAGCAGACCGCCCGGCGCAGCCGGCAGGCGCCGGGCCATCTCTGAGCGCGGGCAATGTGTGAAGAAACTTTACGAAGCGAGAAAATTGAGACCCTCAAATGGTCCGTGGAAATTTTCATGTTGTCAGGCTCTGGAGTCAAAATACGCGGGTTTTCTTCACAGACCGATCAACTGCACGCCTTCGAAAGCACAGGTAACTTGAAGCGAACTTGTACAGTTCACGTCCCAACAAGTAGCGGGACACCTCGTGAAGAAGCCGTCAGTCAATGCAGCCACGTGGCCAAAATGGAGTTGTACCTAAGCGCACAGACACTCCGGGCACAGGTTTTCCGGACAGCTTTAAACAAGTCACAGGCCCTGTGCTGCGAACACTGCAGGGTCGGAATTTGGTGCCCATCCAAGTTTCGACCCAAACAGGTGGCGCCTGTCAACACACGGTGGCAACCACTTCGCATGGCAGAAGTGTCAAGGCAATAGCCAAAGATAGGACCTGATGTTTAGATGTAGTTGGCTTACCCCAGCAGCAGCGGTATATACAGAAGCATGCAAAGGATCAAAGCTGGGACTGAGGAATCCAAGCAAGCTCTGTCGGATTCGCTGGACCCTCTTTCCTTCACTCCGCAGAAGAGATCCGGATTGGAAGGGTGGGACAAAATGGAAGAAACATTGGCTGCTAACCCTCGAGCCAGGGCTCGCAATATGAACCAGCCGATCTCTTGAACGTTTCAATCACACGTGGGACCTTCCCAACCAACCTACCACAATGCGAGATAATATATATATATATGTATGTGTATATATATATATATATGTTTATATATATAAATATATATCTACAGTTGCGAGATGTAACTGGCGTTTAGGATTTACCCCTGATGCTGCTGCTGCTGCTGCTGCTGCTGCTGCTGCTGCTGCTGCTGCTGCTGCTGCTGCCACCATTGCTGCTTACGTGCTGCATCGCCTTCATCATTCTTAGGGCCTCGAGCAACGAACGTGGGGCTGCTGAAGCTCTGGTGGCATGTCCCAAACCTCCGAACCCTTTCTGAAGGGAACTCACTTGCCAAAACCGCCACGCAAAGCTGATGCGTCAACTACCACTTTTCATGACAGTCTGACGGGACCCTTCAACACATCAACGGAAACTTGCCTTTACAGGAATTTGGCCTCCTCTTCGTTTCACTTTCGGGCCGAACATGGCTAATCATCAGCCTCCCTACCTATCGAAAAGGTTCTTCTCAGAAGCCTTCTCAAGAATCCTTTCTCCTTTCTATCAAGGTTCCAAGAAACCTTGGGCCTTTGTTTGTTTTCTCTCTTTTTTCTCCCACATGGGTATGTGTTAACATAGGCCCCGAAAACGTTTGTTCCCTTCGGGTTTCTCTCCCCCAAAACAAAAAAAACACGAAGATACTGTACCTACAAACCCCCCGCCTCCCCCCCAAAAAAAGAAGAAAAGAAGAAGCAAGAAACACACAAATCAAGTGCTAAGTACCCACCTGCAACCCCAAACACCCACATGGTCGCAAGACAAAACAAAAAGTACCTACACCCCCCCCCCCCCCCCCAACAAGAACAATCATACAAATCAAGTACCAAGACAACAAAAAAAATGGTCGCACCTCCGCGCATCAAGCCTTTCGAGCGCTCCCCCCCGACTTTTCCCCTTCATCCGCGGCGCGTGCCGTTCAGGTGCCGCCGCTCCTGCGGGCGCCGCACCACCGAGGAGCGGCTGGACACCTCCAAAGCGCGCGGCGCGTCGCTTCGCTCGTTTCTTGAGGCGCGGCTTTTTTGATCCATGGGGTTCGTTTGGCCAGTCACCATGGGGAGGTGTGGCCTGTCGTAGAGCGGTGGATGGATCCAAGTAGAGTCATAGACCGGTCTAAGAGATTGGTCTTGATCCGTTGGAAAAGTTTGGCCAGTCATAGAGCTTGGGACTCTCCGACTTGGAAGCTTTTAGAAGTGCCTGGTACATTTGCAGGTGTGCTTGGAGGTGTGGAGGCTGTGTGCCACTTAAGGAGGTGGAGGTGTGGAGGAGCGGTGGATCATGGATCCAAGTAATGTCACAAAGACCAGTCTAAGAGCTTGGTCTAGACCGGATAGTAAGAGAGAGCAGGGATGGACCACAAAGTGGCTAAGTTTGGGAAGAGTTATCCTCCCACCCTGTTCACACGGAACCTTGGGCACGGGAAATGGTCCCTTTGAAAGGAAAAGGATCCAAACCAGGACCCTCCCGAAACGTCTAACGGTTCCATGTGAACAAAATGGTGGGAGGACAACTTGGACATGCTTCCCTCTACCCTCTGAACGTGCTCACTACCTGTGGACGCCTCAGGACCTCTTTGCAATGGACCCCTTCCAACAATGGCTCAGTTGTTCAGTGACCCTGGAAAAAAATAATTGGAACCCTTTTTTGGGCTTGGACCATTTTAGTGTTTGGCAGCCACCACAAAAAAGTTTGAAAAAGAAAAAGAGACTCGGGGCCACTGAACCACTGAGAAAGCCGGGTTTCAACCAGGGGCTGTGGAGCCTTTGGGGCTTGAAGAGGCTGGTCCATCCTCCACAGCCCCGTCCAGTTCGATGATTGAGAAAACTTGGCTGGAAAAAAGGGACCCCAGAAAAACATATTTCTTGTTTGCCTGGCTAGTGGAAAACAAAGGGGACCCCAAAAATGATCAAAAAAGCAAAAAGGGAGCCAATTCTGGGGAAGTGAACTTCAGCAAGGTCCGTTGTACTGAAGCTCAGCATGGGTTTCTTACATTCAGCAAACCTCTCTTGTGCTTCGCAACAAATGGTTTGGATTGGTTTGGGGGGGGCATTTAACCTCAAGAACTAGGGCTGCAGATCCCCCCACCAAAACAAACAACCAAGGGGTTGCTTGATACTGTACACAGAAAATATGATGCTCACACTGCCTTTCATATTAAGTCTGAGATACAAAACAGTTTTGCAGGAGACCCCTAAGTTCTAGAATCATGACTCTGCTGCAGATCAACATGGAACCCCCAAACTACAATTTCTAGTGGAACCCTGCTTTTGGGGGAGCCCGTTTTGGGTTCCAAGTTCCGTTGCAGGAGAGTATACGATTCCTACAGCGGAGTCACACGTGGCCAAAGCGGCACCGAAAAAGACCTCGACAAAGATACGTGGGAGGCTGTGGTTTGGCAAAAGTGCTAAGTTATCTCCACGGGGTATGCAGCACGCAGTTGTCTGTTTTTGAGGGTACCCATTTTGGACAGCCAAAAAGACACCACACGTTGGGGGCACCCTACTTTACACACGCTAAACTTGGACAAGCTGAACTCAACTCTAACGGTACCGTAGTGCAGTGCAGTGAGCCGCGGGGCTTCGGGCCGCCTCTCTTCAATGATATGATTGGTGATTTGTCTTGACAGCAATCACTGGATTTCGCCTTCAGGTGGTTTCCCTTGACTTGGCTGGAACTAGGACCCCAGCAAATTAATATATTTTGTGCCTGATTAGTGGAAAACAAAGGGGACCCCAAAAATGCAAAAACAAAAAAGGAAACTAATTCAGGGGAAGTTGATACTGCCATGTTCGGAGGTGCCAAAAAGGGACGTGGAGAAAACCTGGCTTGAGCAAGTCAAACCAATGATACTGTCCAAGCCACGGATATCAACACAGACGTGACGAAGCCTCGTGCCACTTCTCCTGCACTTTGGCAAACCTGCGGCTGGCAGCTTGCGAGTGGACGGCAGTGCCCTGGATAAGAATCCTTCTCATTCTAGGGGTTGATTCCCCATTCTTTTCCACTATCGTTCTTTTCAAAAACCGGCCATTTTCCCTGCGTTTCCGGAGGTTTACTAGAAAGAAGGATCCCTGGAAAGAATGGGGAAGGTATCACGTGTCCGCAACGGGTGCTGCCTTCTCAGCATCGACGGCAAACCAAGCTTCAGCATGTTTGATTCAAAAAAGTGCCACCGTCCGACCATCGTAAAACGAGACTTGTCTCACGCAAAGGTCAACATGGATTGCTGAAGTTGGTTCTACAGGTGAGGCCAAATAGATAGCATGGAGAGGCAAAGCTATTCGATCCTGGAAGAGTGATTTTTGTAATGATTTGGCCCCTGGTATACGTATATGTTTCTATAGTCATACAGAGTCATATATATATATATATATGCCATTGTGAGGTTCGAGGACCTACAACACAACCCCATCCATGTGGGAAACCAAGCCAAGACCACCGGGAAACCACCGGGAAACCAACCATGTTCAGTGGTCCATTTTCTCTCCATGTTTCAAGGAACCATGTTCCCCATATGTTCCCCATTCCCCAAATACTTCATATTTTGAAGCTGACTCCTCAACCCACCCAAACAAGGGGTTCCCCAAAAAAAGGAGACACACTCGAAGAAATCCTGGGCTGCCCGCAGACCCCCCGCTAAAAGTGACTAACTTTTAGTGGGTTAAATGGAAACTACCACTAAACACTAAAAGGCTAAAAAGCTAAGGAACCGGATGGCTGGGAACCACCCAGAATCTATCCCCGCGTCCCCCGAAAAATGGGTGGTGAATTCACCTACCCCAAAACGGTACCATTGATTTTGACCCACAGCCAAATCTTTCCCCACGTCCCCCGAAAGAAAAAAAACGGCTTTTCGCGTTTTTTTCCGGGGCGCTGCACCGCGAAGAAGACCGCGGCGAAGAAGGTGCCGATGGCCATGCCCTCGATGACCCCAAAGGTCTGCTGGCCCGTGAGGTACATGGTGCAGACGAAGGAGATCCAGACCTCACTCTCACTTGCCCAAAGGACCTGGAAATAAAAGGTTGACCTTTTGGGACCTTGACTAAAAATGGACCAAACTGGGAAAACCAAAAGGTCAAAAGGTCGGCTTTGGGCAAGTAAGCACTGGAGTTGGTGGTGTTTTTGTTGGTTTTTTCAGGTCTTCCGACAGGAAAAAAGCAAATCAAAACCCGTCAGTATCAAATTGGTCGTTTTGTTTTTTCCCCAGATAGCTGAAAGCTACAGGGGTTCTAACTTCTATTAAAGAGGGGAAACTACTTGACTTGAACAAAAAGGAGAGAGAGGTCTTGTTCTTGCTGGGTGTCTATCATTTGTCATCCTCAAAATTCGGAGCCCCTCAGTTGAGTTGGCGTTTGTTTGTTTGTTCTTTTAAGGACACCAACAGGACAACCACCATGTGTTGCTTTTGTTATTTTGGGAGGGGGGTGCCCTAACGTTTGAGTCACAGTCAAAACCCATCAGTATCAAAATGGTCTACCCAGAACCATGCTTCAAGAATTGAGCAGGCGAGCCATTATGGAATCCCTAAGCAGGGTAGGTACAAGGGGCACAAGCGGTGTGGGTGGTTGAGAGCCCGTTCCGGGATTGTTAGGATTCCCGTCCCGGGTTTCTGAGGGCTCCTTCGGGAGCCATGGAATCAATCCCATGGAAAGTCACAATCAAAGCCCATCGTTCGAAAAATGAAACGATGCTTCACGAATTGAACAGGCGGCTGCGCCCATTTAAGGTGGGACATCTGCCTGGGGTTTGATTGTGTCTCACTTGGGCACCGGAAAACATGTGTCATAGTTGACCTTTTGATGAAAGAAAGATGGGGCGGCAGGCATGCGTACAGCGCAGAGTGTGCTCCCGAGCGAGCGCTCTTGAGCGGGTGTGCTTGTGTGCTAAGCAGGTCTGCTTGGAAACTTGCTGGTTCTCAGCAGGGAATGAGGGAATGGTTTCCGTTAAGGGAATCCCCTTCCGCTTCGTTCCCAAACCCTGGGTCATTCCCTACCTATCGCAGCAGCAAGGAAGAAACAATTTGTGGTCTTCGGCATAAGAGGCTGTGAGGATCCTGACGGAGTAAGCGCGCCATACCTCTTAGACAGCTTCTGATAGAAGGGTTCTGCAACCCTTTTGGGGGCGAGACGGGGCCTGTCCTTGTTCCGGGCGAGTTTCACCTTGATTGGTTCATAGGATCCCGACACCCTCCCCTAACCCATCCCCCCCTTTGCCTAATTGAGGGCGCCTGAAAACTCATTCATCCCAAGACTAGGGAGCTCTGTCAAAGAGCGGGCCTGGTCCCTAAGAGTTGGAGTGCAGCCGGAAGGAAGCCAAGCCTTGCAGCAGATTCGCGCAGGGAAGGCATGATCCTTCATCAAACACTTGCCGTGTGCGCAACACTTTGATTGGTGGGCGTCGTGTTTTACGCTGACACACGTGGATGGAACGGACCAAATGAAGGAAACCAACTGGCCGGGGGATGCCCATTTTTCAGAACCCACATCCAGCCAAAGAAGTGGTAAGTTGGGCCATGGCACCACACAGGCACATGGGCCCATGCAACATCTCCATTTTTGCAGGCCATGACTATAACTTTGGTAACTGGGCTTCTTGCTCCCCCTACTGTGGATGGACGACATCCTGCACTACCTAAGAACCCCTAGAATCATATATTCCCCTGTACATACCAACAAAAGATGTTTTCCAGGGTGTCTTGGGTGGTGCGACATGGATTTTGCCCATCCACAGTATGACCACCGCTGGTGGTCAAAACCTACGGTGGGTTCAACACATCCAAAGAGAACGCGGGTAGCGTAGCGTTCTTTCAGGACCAGGACCCCTCCCTCAAACAATGGGTGTGTCCCGAAGTGCCCCTCCTCCCAGATATGTATATATCGATCTATCTATCTATTTATCTATCTATCCATCTATCTATCTATCCATACATCCATCCATCCATCCATCCATCTATCTATCTATATTGTATGTTACATGCTTGTGTGTATGTATACATTATATATACATCCATGCATGCTTGTATGCATGTATACATGTATGCATGTATGCATGTATGCATGTATGCATGTATGCATGTATGCATGTATGGTTGTATGGTCGTATGTGCGTATGTACGTACGTATATGTGTGTGTGTATGTATGTGTGTATGTGTGTATGTATGTATGTATGTATGTATGTATGTATGTATGTATGTATGTATGTATGTATGTATGTATGTATGTATGTATGTATGTATGTATGTATGTATGTATGTATGTATGTATGTGTGTATGTATGTATGTATGTATGTATGTATGTATGTATGTATGCACGCACGCACGCACGCACGCACGCACGCACGCACGCAAGCATGTATATATGTATGTATGAATGAAAGTATTTATGCATGCATGTATGTTACGTAGGTTATGTCATGTCATGCCATGTCATGTCATGCTATCTGGGCTGCCCTCAGATCCCCCGCTAAAAGTTTAACTTTTAGTGGGTTAATTGGAAATCCCCACTGAACACTAAAAGGCTAAAAAGCTAAGGGGATGGCTGGGAACCACCAAGTTATGTCATGTCATGATATGTATGTATGTATCTATGTATCTATGTATCTATGTTTCTATGTATCCATGTATGCATGTATGTATGCATCTACACATGTATGTGATGCGATGTGATGTGATGCGATGCGATGCGATGCGATGTGATGTTGCCTGTCTGTCTGTCTGTCTGTCTGTCTGTCTGTCTGTATGTAGGTGCGTACGTATGTAGCGTGTATGTATATATATATATACATATGTATTCAACAAATTATCTCGGGGTGTGTTTCTTCTTTTTTTGTCGGGGGGAGGACCATATGTTACCATATATATATATATATGTATATATATATATACATATGTATATATATATATTAGGTATGGTTTTGCCCGGATGCAAGGGCATACTCCGTCTTGGACATCAAGCGCTTGGACTTGAAGAGCCAGTCCGTCATGATGTCCACACCGAAGAGGCACATGATGCCACCTGCGTCAAACCCCCCCCCCACTCCCGGCCCTTGCCCTGGTCCAAAACCCACCAAGGGATGGGGCCAAGATGGTGGGTTCCCCTGTTGATTCCCATTAAACCCACCCCAAAAAGGGTACCCTCAAAAAAGACACACATGTCTTGCAATGGTGTCTTCTTTTCAAAGGACACCCAAAATGGTGGCGGTGGTCCTTTTCATTCCCTTTCAAGCCACAAAAAAGGGACAACGACAAAACAAATCGTGCTGTGTTACCGTGGCACAAATATGGCAAGGCCACTGTTCTCGGCGAGGCAACAAAAACACGAAGTGTCAAGCCCTGCTCTACAGAACAAACGAAGTCTTCAAGCAAAGGTCCTGCAATGGCCAGGCAATGATTTTCCTCAAGGTACCCGGCTCTCATGTCCTGAAGGTGGAGTCCCAGCAAGTGAGGTGCTTGCCAGCATCGTATCAACAGCGGATGAGCAGTTGGCAACTCCTATTGAGAACCAAGTGACGGTGCCGGGGTCTCCTGCAGGTGCTGTTATCACTCCCCCGCAGTCAGTGAAGACACCTGATCGTAAAACTGGTGCGATCAACTCCCCACAGGATGCTGCACGAGATGGTCGTGAAGGTGAAGGTGAAGATGAATCACGCCAAGAAGAGCGTCAAGAAGAGGAAGAAGATGAGGCTGGCTATGAGTACCACACTGAGACTGCAGCCCAGTACCTCCTGCCGGACAAGTTCCCAGATCAGCTCCCCATGTGCAGTTCATGTCTGGCTTCCCAATCTTCAGGTCTCAAGATTTTAGACATGAACCTGGCTGGCAGCAGCCTGAGTATGTTGAAGCGCCCGTTTCAACAGGGGAGACCGCTTTGGAATGACACAGTGTTTGATATGTGGAATCGTCTTGACGCTTGAAGAAGCTGCCCCCTTTTTGTCAGTGAAGAGGCGGATGTATGATCAGCCTATCGCCGATCGCCTTCCAACATGCTGCCGACTGGCAAAGCCCAATGCCGCGACACAGCCAACCATGCAACGCCTGCAGCAAAAGCCCACGAAAGTGTTTGTGCAAACCACCCACTCACGTAGATCCATTCGCCTACGTAGGCGTTGGGTAGCACCTGCAAGATGTCCACTGGCGCAAAGAAAAGGATGAACTCGCCTCGTGAGATCCGCCCAGACGGTCCCAGGAAATGCCACATCAATGATCAATAAACCTGTTTGCCATGGTGATGGCTCTCTTAGGAATCTTTGCTACGGCTGTCTAAAGTGCCTAAGAGGTTCATGACAACCCCTGCCAACTGTCCAGGGCATAACTGAAAACACAAGTCAAAGAAGCTGATTCGCAGAACCTGTCTCAAGTCTCCATGCAAGTTCGTGGCATGTCCTACACCCTAATTACTCCTCTCTCACCGCAGCTGTGCGCCACCTAGTTGGACACGACCAAAGCAGCAATCCGCTGAAGCAAGGGGACCAACATTGAAAACAAAGACTCCCTCTAATCAGGAGTCGCAGTCAGAATTGTTGTTTTCCCCCCGAAAATGGCCGCCATCACTTCAATGCGAAATCATTGAATGATTTCGAAACACCTTGTTCTGCCAGGTAACCAATGACATCCGAGAGTGCATGTGCGGCGTGGTCACAGCTGAAAGCCCGAGGTGTCTTTAACACCTCACTGGGGCAGAACAATCCCAAAAATTTACCATCCGGCGCCAAAGGAAGCTGATAGGCACTTTGACCAGCAGTTGCTCTAGGAAACGGTTTGGATGCGGTTTTTGTGGATCCACCATTGTAGGATAGCAACGGAGTACTAAAAGAGTATTAAAAGAGGAACAACTAGCCAAACAACATGAGGAAACCACAGAAAGCGCATCCAATCCGTTTGATGGAGTTGCAGACCTGAGTCTATCCACGCTCCGCATATTGATGGATTGTTTAAAGCTGCCTGTTCCCGAAGCAAAGCATGAAAAGTGACAAACCCTCACAACAGCTACTAAGATCCAACTGAGCAGCCGCATAATTCTTTAAGGAAAGAAATATCACCATGGGGATTTGGCCAGTACCCCTGACAAAACTATAAGTGGCATCATGTGAGCATGTGTCAAAATAAGGGGGCCCGACTCATGGGTGGTTTCCCTTTAAATTCCCTTTAAGCCACACCCAAAATTGGGGGGCACCCTCCAAACAAAACACCCATTGACCTGATAAAGGCACGGTTGGGCTTTGCCGGGGTTCCAGGACCCCACAGCTCTTCGCTGTCGTTAGATCATTCGGACTCGGCGCGCAAAGCCACGAATTCGTAAAACCAAAAGGTACGCCCATCCTTCTTGGCCACGGTGGTTTCGAGGCTACCAGCATCAACTCCTCCAAACAAGCTACTCCGTGGTTTTCCCGGCGCAAACGCGTTACTCAGTTGTTCAGTGACCCTAGGAAAAAAAGGGAACCCTTTTTTGGGCTTGGACCATTTTAGTGGGGCAGCCACCCAAAACAAAGTTGGAAAAAGAGACTCGGGGCCACTGAACAACTGAGGTTATTGTGAAGGGGAAAGAAACGATGACCAAATCGATCACCCACTCTCGATCGCGCCTATGGCTACCACCAGGCCATTGACGCGGCTGCTGACCGACCGCTTGGCGCTGAAGATGGTCCTATCGAACGGCGAAAAAGGGAGGAGCAACTGGCAAGTGACCAGGGGAAAAACATCCGAACCGAAAAATCTTCCTGGAATTTTCTCTGAAAGCTGCCCGGAACCAAAGGGACCCAGAGCCTGTCATAGCAAGATATGCTTTTCACCACAGCTTCGTTTCCCCTGCCATGCACGATTCCGTGGGAGTTTCATGCACGACCCTGCAAATGTGGGGGGGTGGAGCCTGGACCGACATCTCCGCATCGCGGAAAAACAAAAGGCCTTCCAATGCACAATCGATGATGTCTTTAAATGACCTGTCAACAGGGTTCCATACGTATCCTCTTTCAACATCACCGTTCCAACAGGAACCTCTATCAAGACTGGCAACCACAAGACTTCGCCAGACGTAGACCCTCTGCCAAAACTCTAGGGGCCAAAGGGGTGGTTTGCCTTTACCTTTTAAACCTTCCCAGAAACGCCACCTTCACACAAAGGGGAAGCATCCCAAAATCACCCAAAAAAAGGAAATCAAAGGAACTTGCCTTACGAATAAGGGGGGGGAGCAGCTTCTGCTTGAAACACGCATGAATCAAGGACCCACCCCTCTTGCGACTTGTGCGACTTGCAAACACCAAAGAAACAAACAACCGAAACCCTCTACCCAAAGGTAATGATGTGATTCATTGTTGAGTCCCTTTTAGTGTTGCTTGTCTCCAAGAGGTAGCCGCTCATGTTGGTCCTGGCTTTCACCAACTTTGGTCCTAGTCAGCTTTTGGGCCATGTTGAACGTTCTAGGCCCGCCCCCACGTTTTGGCCGGTCGTAGTTTCTACGTAGCTCATTTTGGTTCTAGTCACGCAACCTGCCAAATCAGGGCGAAAGAACCAGGACCGAAACCAGCAGAAACTAGGACCGAAACGAGTGGAAAACTAGGACCGAAAAACGAGTCGCCGCGCGCCGTCAAAGACCCTCATTAAGGCTTGCTTGCTAAAAAGCTCCGAAAGCCAACGGGCTAGAGGCGTGTAGTTGTGCAGGCAAAAGCCTGCATATCTCTGACGCGGTTTCATTGGTGCAACACAAGCAAGGTGCGCAACTGAGATATGTGGTGCCCGGCTTCTCAACCTCTTCTAGTTCTTCCCCCCTGCCTAAAACGTCTACCCCCGCCCTCCTCCCCCACACAAAAGCAGGACTTACTGTGGATGGACGAGTTCCCGCACCACTTTGAAACCAGGGGAAACCATTGTTGGTTGGTATTTACAGGGTGAATCATTCTTCCAAGGTTTGGTTAGGTGGTGCAAAATGGATTTCGAAACCATCCGCAGTATCAAGGACCTTCAGTAGGTTTGCCCCTACTCAAAACGTCTACCCCTCCCCCCCCACACACAAGCAGGACAGACATATACTAGGTCCTCCAGTAGAGAGGTTCGAATAAGGGTACCCTATTTTTTTGCTGTAGTCTATTTTAGTAGGGGAGCCCTCCCAACCAAAAAAGAAACGGTGAGAAAGGGCACCAATTGCTGGGGGAGCACAGACATATCAAGGACTTAGCGCCAACCCAGCGAAGCAAAATTTCTCTCCAGAAACGCCGAGGCGCTGAGAGAAGATATAGGACCCCGTGGCGCCGCACACAAGGCCTCAAGATGGCGCACCGCTTCATCGCTTCATCGCTTCTCAAGCGGCTCTCATCGGATCGAAAGGCGCGTTGTCTGGGGAGAGGGGGCGGCTCTCATCGGATCGGGGGGCGCGTCTGGAGAGAGGGGGCGGATGGCAAAACCTTCGCTTCTCAAGCGGCGTTCATCGGATCGAAAGGCGCGAAGGCGCGTCTGGCTTCACGCCTCGAAAAAACTGTTCCTCGGGCGCTCTGGTTGAGGAAACCCAAGTGGCCGGCATCTCCTCAGCCCAAAGAACCTGAAGCCTGGAAAGCCCAAAGGACGTTTGGGCGATCGGCCCCGGGCGCCCATTGGAACCTGAAAAAAAAATCGGCTCTGAGCCCTGTGGAACCTTGGCAATGGAGCCGACATTTGGAAAACAACTAAGAGGTCATAAAAGGTTGTGAAGTTGGGAGGTCCATCACTCAGGAACCAATTTTAAACCACAAAGTCGGTATCAAAACTTTCGATGCGAATCCACCCGAATCAGCTTCCCTTTAAAATCAATCAACATGTTGGCTTGCACAAAAAAAACGGCCCAAACAGGTCCACAGCAATAATTCACTCAGGGGTGGTTCACCTTCCTCCAAATGCTTCATTCAGTCCCCTGGAAGAAATAATACAACCATTTCTAATAGTGGTAGATTTCCTTTAAATCCAAGCTTGTAGTGCTCCCCTTGTAGTGGACTACTGACCAAGCTGGACTGTTTAAAACCAAGAGGGGAAGACATAGGCTTAAATGGACGCCAAGCTACAAGGGTACGACACACAATACCGTCACGTGCACAGAGAGTTCTTTTTGAAAGAAATCAGGCTTTCCATGATTACCTCCTTTTCCAGGCCAAAGTTAACACATAGCCCGAAGAAGTTGGTGCAAAGGTGTTGTTTCTTGGAAGACCCATTTGGGTCGGTGAAGAGCAGGAAACTGACCATTTTGGTTGGGATTGCAAACCTATCTAGAGTTGGGACCTGTACTCCAGTCATCCTATTGCACAGAAATGAAAAGGGGATCTGCGGCAGAAGGCGCTGCCCCTAAGATCTGGGGTACGATGTCAACCCCTGAACAGAAAAGGAGCTAACTTATTTGCCACGGACAAAAAACAAACCAAGAACGCGAGCTTTTGGGGGGGGCAAAGCACCAATGCAGGCAACGGGGCTGCTGCAAACGTTGCCGAAGCCGATCGCCTGCAACTCTCTGTTGTAGTCCTTGGCTTGTAAACTTCGGCAAAAACCCAAAGGCCTGTCCCCAGGAAAGGTTTGGGTCTGATCTGGTGCGAAATTGAAGCCGGAACCCCTATGTGCAATCCTTTTTCTCTGTATCATGTTGTTTCTGGGCGCTGGCCGCATTGCGCGTATTTGTTCAAAAGATGCTGCCAAAAAAGCATAGACAACCACATGTCATCGTTTTGCGACCAAGCCCGAACGGACAGCGCAAATGGCCCCCAAGTGGCTGCATGTCCAGCAGGGCTCTTAAAATTACTGTGGGAGTGTTGTCCATTGAAACCGCAATTTGGAGGATGAATTTGAAGATGGCTCTTGAATGGACACGGCACTTACTCTCTTCACTCCACCACAGGGGTTTCTCTCTGCGAGCCTTGTTCAAATCAGATAAAAAGCAGAACTAGGGCTTGCCCTCTGGTTCCCTTCTCAAGGCAATGAATGAAGGAACCCCGTGTAGAAAACATACATGGGTTTGTCAATGGTTGCCCTGTTTGGGTTGCTTTTTAAGCGGAAGCCAAAAGGAAACCAGGAGGGTCCCTGTATTTCCCAAGGGCGACCGAGTCGCGGTGTTTCCAAACATCTCTCAAACAAACTGGGTAGTCGGGTAGTCTTCCTTGGTTCCCTCACTTCCTGAGTGCCTTGGGCCAGCCAACCAAAACCTCATGTCTTTTCTCTTTCTTGCCACTAAAACAATCCGAAGAAGTTCAAGTCCGGCAACTCACAGAGTTTCCAACTGAACCTAAAGGACCTCAAGGAGTTTTTAACCCGAGCGCTTTCTTTTGCGCGCCTTCGATCTTCGAACTTCTCGAAGCGAAGAGCTTCGGCCTTCGGCCGAGGGGCCAGCTTCCGGTCGGGCAGCTCCGCCTGGATGGCAGCGACGTCCAGGGAGCTGCCGAAGGTCACGATGGTGATGAGGCCCAGGAGATTCCTGGGGCCCCAAGTTAAGTTGGCTTGGCTTCATTTTGGGGGCCCGGAAGGTTTTTATCGGGGGAACAGAGGAGATGCTACCAGGAAAACAGCCAAACGGCCGATTTTTACGGTGGCCTTGGGTTAGCACGAGATTCTACCAGGAAAACAGCGAAACGGCCGATTTTTATGGTGCTGGCCTTGGGCTAACAGGAGATTCTACCAGGAAAACAGCCAAACGGCCGATTTTTATGGTGCTGGCCTTGGGCTAACAGGAGATTCTACCAGGAAAACAGCGAAACGGCCGATTTTTATGGTGCTGGCCTTGGGCTAACAGGAGATTCTACCAGGAAAACAGCCAAACGGCCGATTTTTATGGTGCTGGCCTTGGGCTAACAGGAGATTCTACCTAGGAAAAACGGCCGCCAACAGGAGATTCGGTTTTTATGGTGCTGGCCTTGGGCTAACAGGAGATACCAGGAAAACAGCCAAACGGCCGATTTTTATGGTGCTGGCCTTGGGCTAACAGGAGATTCTACCAGGAAAACAGCCAAACGGCCGATTTTTATGGTGCTGGCCTTGGGCTAACAGGAGATTCTACCAGGAAAACAGCGAAACGGCCGATTTTTATGGTGCTGGCCTTGGGCTAACAGGAGATTCTACCAGGAAAACAGCCAAACGGCCGATTTTTATGGTGCTGGCCTTGGGCTAACAGGAGATTCTACCAGGAAAACAGCCAAACGGCCGATTTTTATGGTGCTGGCCTTGGCTTAACAGGAGATTCTACCAGGAAAACAGCGAAACGGCTGATTTCGGGTGCGTGGGCTTTGGGCGCCAGGTCCAGATTCTCTCGCAAAGCCCCAAGGATCTTTGAGCCGTAAAAGGCCCCTGTCCCAAGGCGCGCTGGGAACAAAACGCGCCAAAGGAAGGCCTCCAGGCTTTAGGTGAGCCCCGGCTTCCTCTCATGACCCAGGTGGCCGAAAAAAGGTCGCCACACTTTTGATGTGCCACTAAAATGGATTCCCCGTCCTAAAAAGTTTGAAGTCCAACTCAGGGAGCGAGGTAGGGAGAATTCAGGCCAAGGAAGGCCTGCATTGGTTTCGGAGAAACGGGGCGCTTGGGGGAGCGGTTCGGTTGGGCTTGCTTTCCCTCAACTGAAACAGCAGGGATGCAGAAAGCAGCATCCAAATTTGGTAGTCGACCGCCCCGATTCAGCTTCAATCACTTTGGACTTCTGGCCCGGGCAGTTTGCTCACCCAAACCCACACAAAAACAACAACCCAAACCCACCCGGAGACCTTTTCCGGTCAAATACATCCAAGAACCTCTGAACTTGGACGACGAACCCATCCCCGCACCCGGGAGAAAATGACCAACAGCTTGTGCAGCAGTGCGTTTTTAAAAGGCGCCTGGTAGGCCTGGTATGAGACAAATCACCTCAAAAGCATCCGACGTTTGGCCAGAAGTACCCCCC